GATCACAAGCCCTGACAGCCGTCGGGGGAACTCACGTAGGCACAGCTTTTGTTACCAACCTCCCAAGCCGTAAACTCCAGATGCATTGCACACCAGAGCAATGGAACCTGGCAAGATGTACCATGAACACTTTTCTTTGCGGAGACAGCTGGGTACATGGGGCAGTCATCTATGGGCATTCCCACAAAGCCTACTCCACGGAAGTCAGACAAGCAACTGACCAGCTCCTAGCGATAGCCACGATGCACGTCGTTCAAAACCTTCGAGGTCCAAGATTCATCATGGGTGATTTCAACCAAGAGGGTCAAATGCTTCAGCAGCCTCAAATGTGGGAAAGACTGGGCTGGCGAGAAGTACAGACGCTCCAAAGAGAACGCTACGGTGACGAAATAGCCAAAACATGCAAGAATGCCACCACCAAAGACTTCATTTGGGTTTCTCCTGAAATGATACAGTTCTTTCGCAAAGCAGAGATCATTCATCATGTCTCCCCAGATCATGGGGCGTTGTTGGCACATTTTTCTGACCCAGGGCAAGATGTTCATGTCCATCTGTGGCGCATGCCCAAGCAATTGCCTTGGGAAGAGTGCAGCGGTGAGTTAGGATGCGCTGACTATGTGCTCCCACCAGAATCTAGCCCTGAGCAATGTTGTGTCCACATAGCCCAAACCCTCGAAGACAGATTGCATGCCAATCTCCAACACCAAGCCAAAACGGGCCTTTTGCCTATGCAGCGCGGCCGTTGTCAAACCAAGACAACGCGCAAGCTCCTGAATCATGCACGTCCCTTGAAGGCAAGCCGCCATGGTGAACTGATCCCTGAGTTCCAAGGAAATAACCTGCAACACCAAAGATGGTTCACACAGGTGAGAAGGCTTGAGTCACTTGCTAAGCTGTATAGAGCACAGCCGTGGAATAGCAGCCAGCATGTCCACGCCACTAGAGAATGGAGAGCCATCTTAAAAAGCAACTGGTTTTGGCAATTTCCGTAAGTGGTGGAGCAGCCTGCCCGCCAAGCAGCCACACGCACCTTCCCAGCTCCCGGAAGAACTACCCACCGAAGCAGCCCTTTCTGCAGTATACCTTACCGTGCGTGGTGAGGTCCAAAACTATGAGAGGATTCTCCAAGCCGAACTAGTGGCCAAAGCCAAACAAAACAGAGCCACCAATCCCAATAAGGTTTTCCGTGACTTTGCCAAGCCCACGGTCTCACCCGTTTGTATCCTGCAGGATTCGACTCAGGGCACGATTGCAGAGGTTGACCAAGAAGACAGCTCCATCACCTTGACACAACCAGCCACCTTTTGGCCAGGTGAAATCTGCACCAACACAGGTCCCCAAGTGCCGATCATGACTTGCGAAGATAAAGTGTGGTTAGGAAATGTTGATGGCTTGGTGGCAGGACAGGTCGTCAGACAAGAAAGGTTTGTAGGACAGCTTGAAGAAATGTTTTCCAGATTCCAGTTGGAATGGCAAAAACGTTGGGACACTCACCTTCATGTACCCACTGAACACTGGGAGCCTCTTACAACCTTTTTCCAGCTTGCGCATCCACCAGGGCCTGAATTGCCTTACCTACTTATTACACGTGAACAGTGGTACACAGCCCTTCGCAAGAAGAAACCTTCTGCAGCACAAGGGCCTGATGGTTGGACACGTAAAGACCTTATGAACCTTCCTTGTGACCTTACAGATGCCATCTTGACCATCCTACGCAAAATAGAACTGGGTGAAATGACGTGGCCACAACAATGGCTAGTTGGCATTGTACACAGCCTCGAAAAGTATGACCAACCAGCTGCTGTGACAGGTTACAGACCCATTACAATCTTCTCACTCGTGTATCGCACCTGGGCTTCAATCAGGTCCAAAGAAATCCTCAAACACTTGTTGCCGTTGACACCAAGCCATAGTTTTGGTAACTTGCCAAGTCGGAGTGCCACCGACATGTGGATGACTTTACAGCAAGAGATCGAATCCAACCTAGCCAACGCGCAACCAACCTGCGGCGCAGTCCTTGATGTGGTCAAATGCTTTAACCACTTGCCTCGCCTGCCTTTGTTTGAGGTTCTCAAGCACATGGGGGTCAATGCACCAATACTTCGAGCGTGGAGCAGTGCGCTTTGCAAAATGGAGCGCAGGTTCAGCATCAGAGGCTCTGTCAGCCCTGCCTTGCGTAGTTCCACGGGTATGGCAGAAGGATGTAGCCTTAGTGTGGTAGGGATGGTGGCTTGCAACCAGCTCATCGACACCTTTGTGAAACAGAAAGTGCCGACTGTGAGACTGCTTTCATATGTAGATAACCTTGAGCTTACAGCCAAAGAACCTCATGCCCTCCTGCAAGGCACAGCAGCCCTCACTGACATCCTGGAACTTTTAGACCTCCAAGTAGACAAGAAGAAGACCTACTTGTGGTCGACCGAAGGTTCCTTTCGCAAGGTTTTTGTTCTCCATGGTTTCTCCGTGAAGTCTGCAGCTAGGGATGTAGGTGCACACATGCAATACACCAAGCAAGCCACCAACTTCACTATAACCCAGAAAATAGAAGCCTTCCAAGAGAGGTGGAAAACACTTGCCTTGTCGCCAGCACCATATGAGCAGAAACTTAGGGCTACAAAGGCAGTGGCATGGCCCAACATGCTGCACGGTGTCTCCTCAGCCCACCTTGGAGACAAGTGGTACGAAGACATGCGTACCAACACCATGAGATCCCTTCAAGAACATAAACCAGGTTGCAGCCCTTTGATACACCTGAGCATGATAGAGCACCCTAGTGCAGACCCTGGATACCATGCTGTCTGGCAGACCGTTTTGCAGTGCCGTCACTACATGCGTCCTGAGGTATGTGTCCCTCAGTTTTCACGTTTGGCCACCTTGAACAGAAAGAAACCCGAAGTTGGCCCATGTTCTGTTGTTTTTCACCGCTTGACCAAGCTGTTTTGGCAATGGGATGATGCGGGGTTTTTTCGAGATGCCAGAGGTGCACCAGTTGACATTTGGGAATCACCCATACAAGAGCTAGCTGCCCGCCTTACAGAAGCCTGGCATTACAAAGTTGCCGCAGAAGCATCCTCACGCCAGACATTCGTAGGCTTTTCCCAATGTTGCGCAGCCTTTACCATGGAAGGTATGACCACCCAGCCGCGAGACCGTGCAATTCTGCGTAGTGCCTTGAATGGAACTTTCTTCACGGCTGACCATCTGAAACACCGGGACAACCCAGGTGATACCAGGTGTAAACTTTGCCACCAAGAAGATAGCTTGTACCACCGTAACTGGGAGTGTGAAGCTTTGAGTGAGTGCCGCAGCCATCTTTCTTTTGACCAGCAACAAGCAATTTTGGCCATGGCACCAGCCACATACCTCCAGGGGTGGTTCCAGCCCCCTGAAGTTCTCCACCAGTTTCGTGCCAGCCTCGCCGAACTGCCGGGATATGAACAATGCATTCTTCCGCATAACTTGGTGTCAAAAAGCCCTAGCGAACCAGCACATTACTTCACCGATGGTAGCTGCCTGCGACCGCAGGATAAGTTTGCAAGAGTGTGCGGGTGGGGTGTTGTCCTTGCTTCTCCCCAAGATATGTGGAACTTTGCTCCGATAGCAGCGGGTTGCCTACCGGGGCGCCATCAGACGGTAGTCAGGGCCGAGCTGACAGCAGCAGCAGCAGCCGTTCATGATGCCGTCAACAAAGGCCATTCGTTTTGTGTTTGGTCGGATAATGCTAGAGTTGTTACACTCATGAACTCCATGCTTGCATCACCTGATCGGAAATGGAACCGCAAACAAGCCAACCATGACTGCATCAACAGGTTAGCTGATGAGCTCAGAGCAGGAGTTCATTTGTGCCAAGGGGTCTTCAAAGTAGCTAGCCACCAGAAAGTGACTTGCGAATCTTCCTCTGCTGAACGTTGGTGTTTTCTAGGTAATGATGCAGCAGATGCCGCAGCAACTAGAGCTTTTCAGGAACACCCGGTTCTGATGGCTCAATGGCAAGCCTTGTGCGAGCAGCTCGACCAGCGTCGAGACCTCAAAAAGCGATTCCACCAAATGCTACTTGACATAGGACTGACGTGCATAAGTAAAGCCCAGCCTCGCAGCCTTCCCAAGCCTCAGCCTAGTAAAGCAAGTTTGCAGCCGTTGCCTATGACTCAATGGAGATTTCCCACTGAGATGCCTGCCGAAGCTCAGCCATACGTGTTGCCTGAAACGGAAGCGCTCACCAAATGGATCGCTTCGCTGCACAATGACGCACTGCCGGTTCAGAGATGGTCGTGGTGGCAGCTTTACCTTGACGCATATCTCAACATACCACAGTTTGGGCCTTGGTATCATGTTAACCATAAGCAGTGGAAAGCAGGGTCTTCACAGCCACCTGACCCATTTCTTCGTAGAGCCAGGTCCTTTTCGAAATACATGCATAAGCTGAGTAAGGCATGCCATGTGACTTTGCCCCTACAACATGCCACGCCCAGTGGTTCCATAATTGCTTTTTGGACAGCAACACTGCCAGTCCAGGTGCCGTCCGAACGTACGACGAAGCTGGATGAATGGTTTGGGAATTTCTTGCCGTGTGCAAGCAAAACCACTGACCTGCGTAAGGTGAACTTGTGATCGACGAGGTGCCAGTCGAGACGGAGAGAGGTCCCTGCTTTGGGGGTTTTATTTGGCAGTCAACACGTCTGCCCGCCCTATGAGGCCGTCGTGTGGACCTATTGCGAAAGTGCGAAAGTGTGACTAGTATTTTTCAGAGGGGTTGAAACCACCAACCAGTCTAAGCATCTTCCCTAATTCCCAACACAAAATGGGAAGCACATGTGGAGGAAAAGCCCTAGATCCATTGGTTGATGATCATTTTCACTGTTAGAATATTGCCATTTTAGGGGATACCTCATTTTCAGACAGACCCATTCAGTGTGTTGGAGGGTTATGGTTGCCATGATGTACCAGCTGAAGCTGCACCAAATACTGCTGAAATCTGCTGAATTTGACGTCTCCGATAGGTCGCAAAGGCCACGCTTTGGTGATTGCTTGCCCAGCAATGCTGTGCTTGGTGGTCAATTTCGCTTGGACAAGGCTGAGAAAGGATGGCCAAACATCGAAGATCCAGCAAGAATATGGTATATACGAATGTATACAACACATGCGAACAATGATGGGTTGTTGAATGTTGATCAAATTGGTTTAACATTAAAAATATTAAACATATATACACTAGGCCGTAGACCCAGTACTTGATCGGAAAAACCAAGAACGGCTTCCTGCAGATGTTCTCTTTAATCTGATGATGGTTTGGTTCAAAGTGGGTGTGTCTAAAAATGGGCATCCCCCACAAATGGCAATGCTTAAAGGGAACATCTTGATTAAGCGGTGGATGTTTAAATGGGTATCCCAATTTTAGGCAAACCATGGCAAACCCAGGTTTTGGAACGATCATCGTTCCTTTCAAATGGTCTAGTGTTGCTTATATCCGCACTACATCCCATTGTATTCCATTATAGTCCCATAAACCATAAAAGCTTGGTGAATATGGTTGGTTGTCTCCAATTAACAGGAATACAATGTCACAACATCTATCCCTAGTTTTATCTTCTCTCATATACATCAATATTATAAGAGTATATATATATATATATCATGGACATATAACTGATTGCTGTTTCCATGCCCATTTGGGTCTTTTATCCCCTGAGTTCCAGATCTCAAACGGAGGCGGAGTTGGAAGCCAGCGGTCGAGCCATTTTCATCCCCAGCAGACCCCGTGACTCGGTACCTGTGGATGGTGGCTGGATGTGGAGTGTGATCTAGCGCTGTTGGTTGATGGTTAGTTATGGTTAGATAAAAGGGAACCCTCAAGGGAACCCTTAAGATTGAGGATTATCACATTTGGAATCCCGTAAAAAAAAGGGAGTTTTTCAACGGACGACATTTAATGTTTTGAACATTGCTCAGTTGAATATGGGATATGTATGGATATGTAGTATGGACCAATGGATATGTCCGATATGGTTCAAAGCCGATTCAGAAACTAACGGCGATTCAGAAACTGCGATTCAGAAACTACGATTCAGAAACTATTTCCACCGATTCAGAAACTATTGCGATTCAGAAACCAACGCGCTTCAGAAACTACGATTCAGAAACTATCGCGATTCAGAAATTATCGCGATTCAGAAACTATCGCGATTCAGAAACTAACGCGATTCAGAAACGATCGCGATTCAGAAACTACGCTTCTGAAACTAACGCGATTCAGAAACTACGATTCAGAAACTATCACGATTCAGAAACTACGATTCAGAAACTGTGGCGATTCAGAAACTACGCTTCAGAAACGATCGCGATTCAAAAACTATCCCGATTCAGAAACTATAGTGATTCAGAAACCACGATTCAGAAACTATCGCGATTCAGAAACTGCGATTCAGAAACTATCGCGATTCAGAAACTATCGCGATTTAGAAACTATATCGCGATTCAGAAACTATCGCGATTTAGAAACTATATCGCGATTCAGAAACTATATTGCGATTCAGAAACTACGATCCAGAACCAATCGCGATTCAGCAACTAACGCCATTCAGAAACTACGATTCACACACTACGATTCTGAAACTATCGCCATTTTGAAACGAACGCGCTTCAGAATCTATCAGGATTTTACACAAGGATCAGATGATATCACAATTCCCACCCCCATGGAACTTCACATTGATTTGGAATGACCACAAGGATCAGATGATATCTAAATTCCCACACCCGTGGAACTTCACGTTGACTTGGAATGTCCACAAGCATCAGATGATATCAAAATTCCCAACCCCAAGGAACTTCACATTGACTTGGAATGTCCACAAGGGTCCGATGATATCAACATTCCCACCCCCATGGAACTTCACATTGACTTGGAATGTCCACAAGGATCAGATGATATCAAAATTCCCACCCCCGTGGAACTTCAAATTGACTTGGAATGTCCACAAGGAAAAGATGATATCAAAGTTCCCACCGAATTTTAGTGTCCGAATCTTCGTTAGTGTTAGTGTCCGAATTCCATTCCACTTGGAATGTCCGAATCTTCGCCTCCGAATCCGCGCTTTTAGTTTCCGAATCCGCGTGCTGGGGGGGGAATGTTGATATCATCGGACCCTTGTGGACATTCCAAGTCAATGTGAAGTTCCATGGGGGTGGGAATTTTGATATCATCTGATCCTTGTGGACAGTCCAAATCAATGTGAAGTTCCATGGGGGTGGGAATTGTGATATCATCTTATCCTTGTGGACATTCCAAATCAATGTGAAGTTCCACGGGGGTGGGAATTTTGATATCATCTGATCCTTGTGGACAGTCCAAATCAATGTGAAGTTCCATGGGGGTGGGAATTTTGATATCATCTTATCCTTGTGGACAATGCAAATCACTGTGAAGTTCCATGGGGGTGGGAATTTTGATATCATCTTTCTTATCCTTGTGGACATTCCAAGTCAATGTGGGGGTGGGAATTTTGAGATCATCTTATCCTTGTGGACATTCCAAGTCAATGTGAAGGTCCACGGGGGTGGGAATTTTGATATCATCTTATCCTTGTGGACATTCCAAGTCAATGTGGGGGTGGGAATTTTGAGATCATCTTATCCTTGTGGACAGTCCAAGTCAATGTGAAGTTCCACGGGGGTGGGAATTTTGAATTTTCCAAGATGAAGTTCATCTTTTCCTTGTGGACATTCCAAGTAATTGAAGTTCCATGGGGGTGGGAATTTTGATATCATCTGAGTCCTTGTTCCAAGTCAATGTGAAGTTCCATGGGGGTGGGAATTTTGATATCATCTGATCCTTGTGTAAAGTCCAAGTCAATGTGAAGTTCCATGGGGGTGGGAATTGTGATATCATCTGATCCTTGTGGACATTCCAAATCAATGTGAAGTTCCATGGGGGTGGGAATTTTGATATCATCTGATCCTTGTGGACAGTCCAAATCAATGTGAAGTTCCACGGGGGTGGGAATTTGATATCATCTGATCCTTGTGGACATCCAAATCAATGTGAAGTTCCATGGGGGTGGGAATTTGATATCATCTTTCTTTGGGACAATCCAAATAATTTGAAGTTCCTGGGGTGGGAATTTTGATAGAATCTGTTCCTTGTGGACAGTTCAAATCAATGTGAAGTTCCACGGGGAGGGAATTTTGAATCATTGATCCTTGTGGACATTCCAAGTCAGACGTGAATTACAGTTCCATAGGTAGGGAAGGTGGGAATTTAGATATCATCTGATCCTTGTGTAAAGTCCAAGTCAATTTGAAGTTCCATGGGGGTGGGAATTGTGATATCATCTGATCCTTTGTTTAAATCCTGATAGTTTTTTCGAGATCGCGATAGTTTCTGAATCGCGATCTTTTCTGAAGTTTCTGAATCGCGATAGTTTCTGAATCGCCATAGTTTCTGAATCGCGATAGTTTCTGAATCGCCGATAGTTTGAATCGTAGTTTCTGAATCGCTCTAGTTTTTTGAATCGCTTTTCTGATCGCGATAGTTTCTGAATCGCGCTCTATAGTTTCTGAATCGTTGCTCTGAATCCCAAGTTTTGAACGGGATAGTTTCTGCATCGCGATCGTTTCTGAAGCGTAGTTTCTGAATCGCTAAAGTTTCTGAATCGTAGTTTCTGAATCGTGATAGTTTCTGAATCGTAGTTTCTGAATCGCGTTAGTTTCAGAGGCGTAGTTTCTGAATCGCGATAGTTTCTGAATCGTAGTTTCTGAATCGTAGTTTCTGAATCGCGATAGTTTCTGAATCGTAGTTTCTGAATCGCGTTGTAGTGTCTGTCTACACCAAGGATTCAGGGATGATATCAAATTCCCAACCCCAAGGAACTTCACATTGACTTGGAATGTCCACAAGGGTCCGATGATATCAACATTCCCACCCCCATGGAACTTCACATTGACTTGGACTTTTCACAAGGATCAGATGATATCAAAATTCCCACCCCCATGGTACTTCAAATTGACTTGGAATGTCCACAAGGAAAAGATGATATCAAAATTCCCCCGCCCGTGGAACTTCACATTGACTTAGACTGTCTACAAGGATCAGATGATATCCAAATTCCCACCCCCATGGAACTTCACATTGACTTGGAATGTCCACAAGGGTCCGATGATATCAAAATTCCCACCCCCATGGAACTTCAAATTGACTTGGACTTTCCACAAGGATCAGATGATATCAAAATTCCCACCCCCATGGAACTTCACATTGACTTGGACTGTCCACAAGGATCAGATGATATCAAAATTCCCACCCCCATGGAACTTCAAATTGACTTGGAATGTCCACAAGGATCAGATGATATCCAAATTCCCACCCCCATGGAACTTCACATTGACTTGGAATGTCCACAAGGGTCCGATGATATCAAAATTCCCACCCCCATGGAACTTCAAATTGACTTGGACTTTCCACAAGGATCAGATGATATCAAAATTCCCACCCCCATGGAACTTCACATTGACTTGGACTGTCCACAAGGATCAGATGATATCAAAATTCCCACCCCCATGGAACTTCAAATTGACTTGGAATGTCCACAAGGATCAGATGATATCCAAATTCCCACCCCCATGGAACTTCACATTGACTTGGAATGTCCACAAGGGTCCGATGATATCAAAATTCCCACCCCCATGGAACTTCAAATTGACTTGGACTTTCCACAAGGATCAGATGATATCAAAATTCCCACCCCCATGGAACTTCACATTGACTTGGACTGTCCACAAGGATCAGATGATATCAAAAATCCCACCCCCATGGAACTTCACATTGACTTGGACTTTCCACAAGGATCAGATGATATCAAAATTCTCACCCCCATGGAACTTCAAATTGACATGGACTTTGCAACAGCACTTGAGGCCAGTGAACATGATTTTCTTGGTTAATAAGGTACAAATCTGATAAGGTTAAGAGACTTGCTTCTTCCAGAGACTGATGCTCAGCAGAGACGGCCATTCAGGCATACAGTCGGATCGGTATAAAATATGATATGATGTGGAAACTGCAGGTCTTGAAGTTGTCCAGGTCACTCATTGACATGTCTCATACGATATGTTGCTTGACGCATTTTGCTTCAAGTGCCAAAAAACACAAACATGTGTTTCTTCGTAACGGATATCAATCTGATAAGGTTAAGAAACCTACTTCTTCCAGAGACTGACGCTCAGCCAAACAGGCAGTTCAGGCACACAGCCAGATCGGAATAAAATGTGCCATTCAAGTCATTGCACGCGCTGTTGCTGCAACTTACGTATCTGTTGCTGCGTTAGTGTTAGTTTCCGAATCCGCGGTTTTTAGTTTCCGAATCCGCGCTTGGAGTTTCCGAATCCTAGTTTCCGAATCCACGGTTTTAGTTTCCGAATCACAATTTTCGAATCCGCGTCTGCGTCAGTTTCCGAATCTGCGGTTTTAGTTTCCGAATCTGCGGTTTTAGTTTCCGAATCCACGGTTTTCGTTTCCGAATCTGCGCTTTTAGTTTCCGAATCACAGTTTCCGAATCCCCGTCCTCCATAGTTTCCGAATCCTCTCTTTTTTGTTTCCGAATCTTAGTTTCCGAATCCGTGTCTGTTAGTTTCCGAATCCTAGTTTCCGAATCCGCGGTGTTAGTTTCCGAATCTTAGTTTCCGAATCCGCGTGCCCGTTAGTTTCCGAATCCGCGGTTCTAGTTTCCGAATCCGCGCGTGACCTGTCCGATATGGTTAGTCTGAGGCAAACAATTTTCCCTAAAATTATCAGGGGAATTTAACAATTTGGTGACCCCAAAATTAGATGTTTCAGATTCGCCATTCTTCGATGGTTGTGGGTTCAGATTCACCCTCCGCCCAAACATTGGTCACCTGGGTTGAATCCCCATGAGAATAGCGACCAGCAAGGAAACCAAGGGTTAACCTCTCTGGGAGGTGATGTTGAAAACCTCAGTTTGAATGTTTAATTGGATGAAGATGGATGAAGATGGATGAAGGTTGAAGCTTTATCTAGTCGTAGTGAATCTAGTGCAGATGAATCCAATGAACACCCACTTCATTGTTTCAAGATGTTTCAATCTGTCATCATCCTGTCCTTATGGCATTTCAGATCATTCCAGGTGCTGGCTTGGATCTATCCTCTGGCCTAGCAGGGGGTCCTGGAGAAGCCCACAGGAACGTTGAGACCTTTAAAATGTGGATGGACATGGTCATGTTTAGCATTGAATTCGCGGCATTGACCCACCCCCGAGGTCAGATTTACGGAATCCCAAATCGTCGTTGAATGACCATGTGGCATTCCGGAATAGATTGACAAAGGCGAGCCATGGTCCCGTTGTGGGGATACGAAATCTTATGAAACAAAGAATTCAAAATTTTGGTAGCTTTTCGTCATGAGCACAGGTTTAAATTTCGACAAACTTTTCCCCACTCCAGCGCTTTGGTTATGAAACTACTGAGTGGCACTATGAATTCAATGAATCACTATATATTTCAATATAAACATATAGTATATTTCTCCCTGCCAAGTCGCGTTTTTTCCGTATTTGACCAACCAAACGCATGAAGAAATAAGTACGGTATAGCTATGACAATCCCGATTGACTGCCCAAGGCCTTGGTGTCTCACCTCTTTGGTGCCTTCGTCTTGCGCGGTCGCGGTATGACGGGGCCGTGGATGTTGGGCGGCTGCGGGGCATTGGCAGCACGGAGGCGGAGATGGCTTTGGAGATGGAGATTTCTGTGGGGCATTTTTGTGGATGATTCAACTAAAGTAATATAAAGTAGCTAAAGTCAAAGTTGAATCATCTTCCAAAGAAAACAGGGATGAAGGATAGTGTCATACTGAGTCATACTTACAATATCTTACAAGATGTAGCAGGAAAGAATGGGAGCGTTTGATGTCCAGGCTTGGGAGCGTTTGGGACGCTGCTTGTAGCGGATCAGAGGCGATGCAACTGTGGCGGTTGCTTCGCTTCGGTGGATCATGGTGGATCCCAGGGGATGTCACAAAGACATTACATGGCTATGATGGCTATGATTGCCACCAATCATTGTGGATGGTGGCCTTTAAAACTGGCCAGTTTTTTAGAGATTTAAGACAAAACTTATGAAAAAAAAATCACTGAACGTGAAGGTATTCAACACCAAAGCGGTGGATTTGAGAAAGAAACGATGTGTTTCTTCTTGCGGCTGAAATGTTGCAAGATCCATGATCAAAGTTTCCTTCCATATTATCTGCCACTATATTGCAATGGAAAATCAGGAATACATGTAGCCCTCCTACCTATGCAAATTAAGGATTTCCCGATTCCACTTACTGCTGGATTACCGCGGGGCATTTAGTTTGCTGTTGATGACCCCTTGCATTTATCATCTTTATATGGAGATGGCAAAAGATTACATTCCCAAAAAGCGAATTGTTGAAGCTAAACAGAAACATTGAACATCTGCAACCAAATACGAAAAAACACAAGTGCAGCTCCAGTGCAGCTCCATTGGCACCCTGAAAGTTGCCATCAAAGTTGCCGCCGAATCTATGCCATCCTGATTCAGCCGCACAGGTGCCCCGACTGTTGTGTCGAAGCGGTGAACTCTGGTGGTTGCTGTGTGCACTTTGGCAGTTGCATCTCGTCCGCAATCTCAGGCTCAGTTTTTAGATCTAAAAGCATGCCCAAGTGGCTCAATCAAATGGTAAATCATGGTTTGAAAAGACATCCGCCAAGATCAATGATGAATTTCAAGGTAATCGTGGTTTAATCAGGTTTGACATGTTTTGACATAGATCCAAGTTCTCAGCTCAGCTTGGTTTCACGGCTTGAGATAATTTGATCCATGGCTCAAGTGAGGATGTTCAGAAATGCGCAAGACTTGTGTTGATGCTTGTGAAGTCAATGATCTTGGCTATTTCTTGCTGTCAAAGTCGAATTCTTAGGTTTTTGATCACTCAAACAGTTTTATTTCTCGGCCTTGGCCTTTAGTTTTGCAGAATCTCAGGCAGGAATGCGAAGCCTATGCTGGAGGGGTGCTCCCACAATGTTTGGGCGAGTGAAAAGAACGCTGCAGAACGATTGTTGGAGACATCGGATTGTAACGCATTTGGAGCAACGCTTGTGTTTTCATAACGTTACAGTATTTAATGCTGGTTGGTGGTTTGGAACATGTTTTTATGTTCCCCAATAGTTGGGATGATGATCCAATCTGACTAATATTTGTCAAGGGGGTTGAAACCACCAATTAGTTAATGTTATTGATGTTCTTTTTGACATTTTTCTATATTATTTTTGTTCCGGTTGTGATTCTATTGATACCAATGGTGTATTTTATTCTCCAGTGAAATATGGATTACATATACACTAGTTAAACTAGTTATGACATTATCTATTATTTAACTGTAGTCGAGCCATACTCTGCAGCTGTACTTCGCGTGGCACCTGGCTCAGCTGATTGTTATAGGGTTTTCCAGTCGGCCTGGCGACTGGCAGGCCTTTGATGGGATTGTCGATGGGAATAACCATGGTATTAACCCCCATCAGTTGGGGTATAACATGATAGAACTATATGATACTATATGGTTACCCTACAACTATGGTTATATAACATAATATAGCCACTTGTATGAGTGTAATACAGTGTAATACTCACTTATCTCACTTGATTGATGGCTTATATACCTTGATTTCTATAGTCATTCGATTGATCATGTCGTGCATGTTTAGCATTTCCGCCCAAGAACATGGTCCTGAAATCCCCAAGGACATATCTTTCAGGTGGGTGAAAGCGGCACCAGTCAGTTTGTTCATGGCAGATCTACTTCTGCACCTCGTGGCAGGTGAAATGCCAGATATTTGGCTCGAGAAGTACCGGCCCATCAAGTTTGAGGCAAGGCTATGTCACATATGTCACTTTTCATTGGCTCCAGATTTCTGTTTTTTGATCCCTCCGAGGTGTTTTTTCCATTTTTTTCCCACTGTTCATTCAACCGCTCAGGATGTAGTTGGAAATACTGGTGCCGTGACCATCCTCCGATCTCATGCTGCTGCAGGCGCTGGCTGTCAGGGTTGGAAAGTTATCCACTTTCCGTTCTGTTGAGATTTCACCAACAGATGGAGATTCATTCCCGACATTACTTGAGGTACATTAAGAATTACTAAATAAGTGATGGCGCCTGTCACGGCTCTGCCAGTCAATCATGCATTGATGAAAAAATGATACAGATGTTCACTCCTGGAATCAAAAAAGAATTAAAAAAGATCCTGCCATCCCCTTAAAATCCCATGATTTATCATGGTTGATCATGTTTTATCATAGGTTCAAACCTCTTATTTTCCCCATGAAAGTCCAATGTCCATTCGGTCCATTCCCATCTCAGCTGAGGAACCTTTCCGCACTTGCTGCTGACCGGGCCACCGGGCTGTGGAAAAACTACCGTGGTTCATTGTTTGGCGAGGCGAGGGCCCATCGGATGAGGGTTTCTTAGGGACTCCCCAAGTCACCATAGGATTCACTAAGTCATGTTCATGGCTGGATGATTTGGGGCTACTATGGGGTACTCCCCATTTTTGGAAGCCCCCAAATGAGCAGTGGCTGCTACAAAAAGGTTGTTGGTTGATGATTAGGTCAGGGATGATACTAAACAATATATTCAAAATGTTCACAATCCAGGGGGGAATTCCGTTCTCAGCCAACCAGTATCAAGGACGAAAAAAAGGGTTTGAACATGGCTCAAACGGCCCAGCATTTCAGGCTGCTGTCTTGTAAATATCCAGAACCCCATGATGGTCCTTGGTGAGGATTATCGATAGTGCTTAGTCATGATTGACTACTGGTAATAGTGCTAAGCATAGCGATAATGATGATGCTCATGTAAATAATCAATGGCAAGACACGATGCTAATGATGAAATCATATCACATACATATGATAGCAATAACATGCAATAACAATGATACTTACAATTATCACAGCCATCCATCTCCAAGTCCACACACGCCGCAGCCATGCTAGCACTTTAGCAGTTCATGTGTTGTGTTTTCCTCCCAACCACAATGAGAATCCATCAATTTTATTCGAACCCGTGATATCCTCTTCCAAGTCCCCAACATATATATAATTAAATTATTATATATATAGATAATAGTATTTAATATGGTATTTAATTGGATTCAAAAAGAATTTAACAGCAAGAAAAACAGCATTTTCAGAATTTTGTGATTTTGGTCTAACCTGGACTCACCTGCTTGTCCCGCCACTGCCGACACTATTGGCCAAGTGTTGTCGTCAGAGCTCCATTACTGCCGAGTTTGGACGAAAATCCCGGTGGATTATCCCGTTTTAGACCCAGCAAGTCATCATGGAAATTATGAAACCATAATGTTAGATGAAATCCAAACAGCACCAAGATCACCAAGTTGTTTTGTTCGAACCAACTTTTTTAGATGAGAATTGATGAGAATTGATGAGAATTTGAGGTTTCCAATCCATGGTACCCCAAATCATCCAGCCGTCAACGCAAAAAAACGCGCCAGGGAACACCTGGGAAGTTTCTACGAGCAGGGCTGCATCGAGCTAAACGCCTCGGACGATCGGGGCATTGATGTGGTGAGAGAGAAGATCAAGGTGCATCAACTGGAGGTATGAACTGGAGGCTACAATGATGTTATATGATATGTCTATAATATGTAAATATATTAGATACACATGTGTATATGTATATGTATATGTACATGTATATGTATATGTATATGTATATATGTATATATGTAGTATATGTATATATGTATATGTATATGTATATATGTATATGTATATATGTATATGTATATGTATATAACTGATGTGGTGATGGGTCAAAAACTATGAAATTACTGCATTTGAGGGGATGAACATCCATTAAATCCATAAACTATTTTAGGGTTCACCAGGCTATTGTGGTTTTGACTCACGGGCATGTATTGTTTGGTAATCCCCATTTCGAGGCCAGCGTTTTTTTTTTTGAAAATGATGAGAATCCAATGGATTTATATAGGGAAATACGACTTTCAGACAAACCCATAAGTGGTGTTGTTTCTTGATGTGTGTTTGTTGATGTTTGGTGCAACCAGTTGTAAATCAAATATGTATATAGATGTTAATCTATAATTATCACTATAGAATCATGTATATAATATATATATATACACTTAATATATAATAATACATTACATGTATATATATATACATAATATCATAATTTGTATATATAATACGCTATTTTTTGTTTTATGACGTGATAAGCCATATACTAATGAGATCGACTCAATGCCATGATCACTATGAAACTGGGTATGGCTCTTCTGCTGGATGTAAAATGACCCCCCAGAAAAATGGTTGGTGACTGGGATGGTTTACTACCGGGTTCACCATACTATGTGAATTGGTATAACTATATAGATATATGGTGTGTATATATATATATATAACAATTAATATACATACGGATTATACAGAATATAGAGGGTATAGGAGATACCTGTTTCGACTTGTACAAACATGGAGGGATATTTAATGAAAGCACCCCTAATTCAGGTTGATAGAATGAGATATAATGGGGATGAGACCAAGAATGCTGGCCATGGTATCCAAAAATGGGAGGTACTCCAAGTTATAGCCATTCTAATGGTGGGAAATTGTGAAAAACCAGCTGACGGGTAGTTTTGAACGAATCAACTGAATCAACCTGGGGAATATGCGAAACTCATGTATCATTTGTAGCCGTTTATCAGATCGGACATTTTATTATTGACTATTATAGTATTCTCGATATGTTATATTTCTTAAAACCATTGGCTTTCTTGTTTCAGAGTTCCCCTTGAACCATACTTTTGAACCCTATTGCGAAAGCAGGTTCCCAACTAATTGCGATTTGTGTGGATTGTGGGACGTGTGGAAGAGATATGAAGAGATTAAGGCAAATCATTCCCACCCTCTGTTCCTAAAGCTTATCAGCTTCAAAGATGCTGGCATACTTCATGCAGGTACTGAACGTGCAACAGCTTGAAACTTTGCTTGCTTCCTAACTTTAAAATCACAGTGGCACCAGTGGCACCTTTTTTTCACAAAGGGCAAATCAGACTAGGCATGGATTTCATTTCACCAGGCTCCCCGCACACGTCCATTGCACATGTTCGCCCGCGCTTAAAATGGCAGGGCTTTGCGCAGCAGAAGGTCTCCTTGCCCGAGGGTAAACTGAAGGCCCCTTTGCCAAACTTGTTTTTTGGATTTGGGGGGTATATGACTCGGGGTTTCTATCAGATAGGGGATTTTTTGTAGCGGGGTGAGATGGATTTAATGTGATATAGTTACCTCCAGCAATCAAATGTGGCAATGGAGAATCCACCATTTATAGATAAATGTCCCATTCAAAGCTCCATTTATAGGGTGTTTCCCACAAAGCTATCATGTTTGACTACCAAAGGGTAACCACTTTGATCTGGATATGTCCATGGGAATCTACCACTGACGCCATGGCCTTTTTTGAGATCATGAGGACCCACTTGATGGAGCCTGGAGATGTCAATCCCATGTTTCGGCTGAGTTGGTGTAGCCTGTGCTAAGCTGCTCCATGTTTGAGCTCAAAATGTCCTCAGATGCCATCATGTTACAATCTCAAGGTGTTTTCGAGTTTCTGAACATTTCTGAACTCTGCTTCTCATCCCTTCCACTATGATTCTGATATAGGAACGTGGCGCTTCAGCGACGGATTTTCGATGTTGGAGGCTTCCAGTTCCACCATGTGATCAATGTCCCCGGTGTCAGGTGATCATCTTGGATGAGGCGGATAGCATGACCCAAGCAGCTCAGCAGGTGGACTCCGGGATGATTCGGGATATTTGGCGAAGCCTCGAAGCCGTTTGCTGATGTTTTCTGGATCACAGATGATCACAGCATATCCTCAATTCCGTTCACTTCCAATCCGACAAGAATGTCCGTCTTTTTTTTCGAATACTTGGACGACATTGAGGATTTTTTTGAGGATCTTGAGGATATTGCAATACCAATCATTCATCATGAGACCCGAGCGTGTTGATGAGATCCCCATTTCCGATGGCTGTTTGAACCGTTGAGGTTTTTGGCTGGTCCCTAAAACCGGGTTGCCGGTTTTGAGCCCGGCTTGAAACGCATAAGTATCGTCAGTGTACCAATGGATCCGCTGAATGGCTGATCACTTTAGTACTGTACCTTCTAATGTAACAGAACTATGGAATCGAACTAAATGGACCATCCCAGTTGGCAAACTGTGACGTTACCAGAGGGTACGCCATCCATTTTGGGGGGCTCGATCATCTTGAGCCCATGCCTAGAAGAGAGAGAGAGACTCAGAGACTCAGAGACTCAGAGACTCAGAGCCTCAGCCACCTTTCGGTCCATCAGTGGGTTCTTTCTGCCATCCATGCATCACAACAACTTACCTCTCGTATAGGTTTCCTATCTCTGAAACTTCCGCCACCGCCTTGTGCGGTACTGCTGGTAAATGTAGGGGTTATCAACCGGAAATACCATCATATACCATCAGTCCAACATTTTACGACAGGTGGTTTCAAACAGATAATCTCTTCATCTTGCTCCCCCCATTTGGAATGATGATCACAATTGGTCCGAATTCTTCAAAGGGATGGCTTATTAACCAGCCACTAGTCATTGTTTCGCTGCTGGGGTGAAATTCCAAGGTGTCAATTAATTATGTCATTGATGACATCAAAACCACCGTTTCTGAATGATTGTCCACGTGAGGTGTTTCCGCGATGTCCTATAGAAATCATTTCATATGGGGATGTACCAAACACCTATGCCACACTTATTCATATTTTCAGGGGAACATCAATAAACAACAGCCCTTTTTGAGTATCCACCGCCTCCTTTCCAGGCCATGCGACGGACCATGGAGATCTACAGTCAGACGACACGCTTTGCCCTGGCCTGTAACATCTCCTCCAAAATCATCGAGCCCATCCAGCCACTTGGAACCTTTCTGGGACTGGTTTGGAACTGAGAAAATCTGCAGAACTCTGCACTTTTTTTGGAGGGAAAATCATGGGAAACCTCTCTGAAATGTCGAGAAAAATGTGGGAAATGGAATTTGATGGTCCTAGAAAATCATGGAAACACCTCTGAAAACCATGAATTGGGGCTCCATTTTTGAAGAAAACCATTTGAAACACTTGGAAGCACCTGAGGGATAAAAATGATAAAAGCAAATGGTAGAACCAGGGCTACCTATGGAGGAAACACATGTTTTAAGCATATTCAAGCTGACAGGTTGACCATGTTTCACCAAAATCCCATGGAAAGTGATAGAACTCACCCCTATGAGGTGCGCCTCACAAAAAAGTGTCACCTCAATTTCTGTCACCAAAGTGGGGATGCTTCAACTCGAGCTTTAGACCGTATTAATTCGCTTGGAGAACTTGATAAGCTGTAGAATGTGTCAATTCAGAACTTGGATATCCATTGCCTTTCCAGGTCTAGATGTGCCATCCTCAGATTTGGAAGAATATCAGATGAGGACTGCTGTGATTTTCGCAGGTTTTCTTTGTCTCACTGTCAACGTTACTATTTTTTTAGAAACACATTAACAAATGTTGGAACATGTTGGAAAATGAAACCACCACAATTAAAGATTTGCCCAGCCGCACCAGGAAAACCGAGGACATAAGGACATCATGAGCACATCATAGGTGCCAGCACTGACATTGTGCCCACAGCAGGATATGATGCAGCGACTTAAGCTGGTCCTGGAAAAGGAAACTGCACCGTGCGCCTGGAAGCATGTCGGCTGGAATCATCAGTTTGTCTCCTGGCACCTCTCAATGGGATCCCCAGTCCGGTTCCAAGATGATCCAAGATGTATCTCCCAGATTTTCGGGGAACCTTTGATTTCTGGAGTCTCTCGATATCTCTCGCTGGTTCTCAACAAGACTTGCCAGGTACGATCAGTCGGGTTTGGAAGCTTTGATTTTTGCTGCTGAGGGTGACATGAGAAACGCGCTGAATGGCGCGCAGTTGCGGACCCAAGGAGATGATTTTCAAACTGGATGTGTTGGGCAGTGACCAGCGAGGAACCTCCAGTTCTGTTTGGGTTCAATTTCGAATATTTCGATCCAGATGCAGCGAATTTTGAATTCAACAGTTCCCATGACCAGCTGGTGTAGCTGACGCAAATCCATTCTTTCAGTCCGTTCGGGGGCCTATCCATCCACGGTGATGGGTTTGTCTGAAAATTGGCCCCAACAAATCCGGTGAATTGTGACTGTTCCCTCTGAAAAGGCCATCTCATATCCAGGGGTGAAAATTATCCCACAAAAAGAACATGTGTCATCATAAAATTGCCATAAACTGTGGGTGTCCCAGATTTCTAGAAACCATGACACCGGGACCCATCTCCTTGTCACTTGTAACATCATCAGGTCTACCTTCAACGCTTTCGGTGAGATCAATCGAAACACGGTCTTCAGGATGGGCAAAACCTGGGGGCGATTGGGAAGATCCCTGGCCGATCTCAAGATATATCAGGCTGGTCAGATATGATTTGGCCATATATTAGCTAGGTTCAAGATAGGTGGTAGAGGCCTTAAGTAAGATCCAAACATGTCTGGTACGTACGGCTGGTAGGTTTGGTTTTCTTGTTACGGTACGGTTGGTACATGTGGTACGGTACGGTTGGTACGGTTGGTACGCTTAGTAAGGTACGTTTGGTACGCTTACCAACCGTACCGACCGTACCAGTGAACCGTACATAACCGTACCACCGTACCGTACCAGATTAAGGGGGGGGTCAAGGGGGGGGCGTTTTGGATGTACCAATACTAAAGTAGTATTGGTACATCCAAAACGCCCCCACCTTGACCCCCCCCCTTAATCTGGTACGGTACGGTGGTACGGTTATGTACGGTTCACTGGTACGGTCGGTACGGTCGGTACGGTTGGTAAGCGTACCAAACGTACCTTACTAAGCGTACCAAGCGTACCTACCCAAAGCGTACCAAGCGTACCAAGCGCACCAAGCGTACCGTACCAAGCGCACCAAGCGTACCAAGCGCAGCGTACCTATCTTATAGCTGGATATCAAGCACCTATCTTGAACTTAGATAAGCCATATATTGCCTTCAATTTCTGGAAAAACAGAAGCTTTCAAAGTAATTAGAATGGGAGTCAAACCCCAGTAGATAAATTCTCTTCCACGAAAGCACAGCATGTGCAACATTCTCCATCCACTTTGGTTTCTCATGGCCCATGTCCATGGAAAAGAGGATTGTTTTGCACATTGATCTCATTTCCAAGGCCATGTTCCATCCATTTGCAGTGGCTGTGCTCCATCTCGGCAGGATGAATGATCAGCCCCAGCCAGAAAAGATCAAAGGATGTTTGGAAGCGAGTTTGAAGAAGGACATGAAGGCGTGAGAAGTGATGATTCTGTAAACATCTCGGTAAATCATCCTCCACGGACCAGCTTGGTTTACCACAGCTGGCACAAGAATATCTGGATCAAACCAGGATCAAAAAGGGAAGCAAAAAAGACCATGGGATTTAGCCGACCCAAGACTGAAGCAAGATAAATCGGCTATCGCTGTCCGCGATCCAATGGTTTTGGGGGACTTGCATGGACCTGCGCCATTGCAGTTCACAGGGTACTGATTGGTGTCCGCTCGATTCTAGTTCTAGTAACATGGCCTAAAATTGGGAATCTAATTTTGTGTGGCATGGTTACATGGTAATAAACATTAATAAACACTCTCCAATACCCAATGACCCAATGATTACCCAATGCTGGGAGCTTGTTTGCAATGCATCGGATCGTGCTTCGCATCCTTTGAACATCCTTGTCTTTGCCTGGTGTTCATACACTCCATTGTAGACAGACGGCTGTATATAGAGTTTGTCGGGCAATGGAGCAATTACCCATAATATGTCGATTTTAGTGATGATCATTGACTCTTGGATTTTGGGATAACCTATGTTTTCACGAAGCTAAATCATCCAATCAAGAAGTCAAAACATTGTCCTTGCAGTTCTTTCCGATATAGGATAAGCAGTCATGTTAAGTTGATATGGATCCTTGTCCTGCTCCTGAGCTCTAGCTGGCTGTTGATATCTGTTGATATAACCATTCCTTTTTTTTATGTCCAGTTCCTCTGGGGAAACTATGGATCTTCATGGGTGAAACATTACCATCCTTCTTTTGTTAGAACATGTTGGAACCCATGTGTAAAATTTACGTGAATATGCCGCATGTATCCCAGAACTGATTCAAGGCAAAATTTCAGTAAATTCTCCAATCTTCCCATATGTTCTCATATTTTCCCATATTTTCCAATCCATCAGAATCCATTTGGGAAGTCAAAACCTATTACCATGACTGGTGGAATCAACAGCTATTTTTGATCGCAGCGATTTTTTTGATGGCAGCCAGGGCACCTTCGCTCCGATGCACGAGATTTGGCATCAGGGTTACAGTGCTACGGACATCATCTCCACATTTTCGCCCGCGGTCCCAGGGGTCCCAGGGCTCCTTGGACAGTCCTTGGACAGTCCTCGGAGTTGACCAAAAGGAGAAATGATGGCTGTTCATCCCTTTAAGGTGATGAACAAATGAACAACATGGATAAGATATGTTTATCAATATGATATTATTTGATATACACATATATATATATATATACATATGATGTTATAATATGCTTATATGGTTTCCGGCTCAGATTTTCACACCTAAACCAATCGATGGAATCCTGTAGCACAAAGCTCCGCAGAATTTGGGGCCACAGCCGGGCGTTGAGCCATGGGCTGCTCGAGCTCCAAAGCAACCGTGGCCGGCCATGCTGTTGGATCCAAGCAGCGTGGCCTGGGGATTAGAAGTTGGGATTGGGATTCAATCAACAAGAATTGGGTCTCAATTGGCTATTTGCAACATATCCATATCCAACATACGCCATAGATGGGTGAAAACTACTCGATTCCCGAGGAAGCACAGATCAATTCATCATTTTGATGCCAAGCATCGCAGCGATTTGGGCAGCCACAAGGATGGAGGGCTTGCCATACCCAGTGTTTCCATCCCATCAGGGTCTTCCGAAGAGGATTTGTTTTTCACCGGGTGCAAATACTACAGGTATCATTTGCACCATGTATTGTTGTATACATATAGTGTATATTAATATGTATATATATATATATATTAAATATCATTTTACATTGTATATATATACACATTAGTACATACTTATTTTCACGATACATGGACCATCCCATTTCAATGTGTGTTTCCAAAGCCATTTGTGAGGCACCAGGTGAATGTGTTGATTGAGCACATTGAACCACTGCCACTGCCAATCCGATTCTCACGTGAGGTGCAGACTGGGAAGTCAATGGGTTTGTTTCAAAACAGGTGGGCATGAGTCAAAATACTATTCTGATTACTACTGTATGTTCAGCGTTTTCTGGTCTCATCAATCTACATATGCTACTCAAAGTCTGGAGTGGTTGGAATATCTCGTGTAGAAACGACTTAAAACAGGGCATGGCCCAATTCTGGATTCAAGCCCCTTTTGGATAGACAAACATTGAGATTTTTTGTTCGCTTCCTGATCTTTTGAGGGTGATCATGGTTTGATGATAACTTTCCCTTGAACATTTCCGTGTATTGAGGTATTCTCCCTATCATATTGTTGGTTCTAGTTCTATTCCACAAAATCTCCCAAAACAGATCCATCATCCGATATTATCTCCGCATAGAATATTGCCAGAACACATCCTCCTGTTCCTGAAATGTCTTTGAGAAATTGCCCCAACAATATGCCCACTACCCTCTAGCTAACCAAGATATAGAAGAGCCATGGTTTCCCTGGCGGACATGATTTAGAACTGGTGAATTTTCCATAACTATGTTGCAAAGTGGGCTCCCCTAGATAGCAAAGTTGCTTTATACCTTCAACCCCACTACGTTTTATGGCAAAGATGACTAGTTGATGGGGGCTATAAACCAACAAAACATAAGGAGGCCATCTTTTTTCATTCTCCGCATACGTCTTTTTTTCGCTACAAAATGCTTGGTCTTCATCTTGAAGGGTACCAGCCGGGTACCATCATGTACCATCTCCATCAGCGGCATCAGCGTCTCAGATATCCATCGAAAAATCCTTCGACACCTGGAAGTGGTCGCATTTACCAAAGGACGTCGCCGGTCCTCCAGAACGCAAGATGCACGATGCTCGTTGAGCAATTTGGCTGTCCCAAAAGTTGCGATTTAGGATTCAACTGGAAAAATAGAAGAATTTTAGAGAAGTTTGGAATTTCAGCAGCAAAAAGGGCAAACAAAGGGACTTGAGTTGATTCAGATATTCAGCCAAGAATATAAAGCTGGGATTTGACCAGCAACGGCCCAAGGAATTTGCGGACGTCAACAAAAGATGAAGGAATTGGTTCCAGCAACAATTGGAACTGCCTTGCCAGGTGTGTTAAAATGTGGACCCCAGGAATTCGTGGATGATTTTGGGGGAGACCGTGCCAAAGGTAGGCATGTCAGAAAGGGATACAAGAGGAGCATAGGGGAAGCAAGTACTGCTCATATTTCCCATACGTGTTGCTTATATTTGGCTAGATCTTGGATGATCTTTTCATAGATAGCGATAATAATCACAAAGACGATCCTTTGCCAAAAGTGATAGTATAAATATGTATAAATTATATATATATGTGTGTGTGTGATTGTGTGATTGTGTGCGTACACACCAGAGACACACATGTTTGAAAGGTATCTAATGTTTCTTCATGATGTCCCTACCTTCTATTCCCACTGTTGATGGGCACCAGCATTGTCACGGCCAGCTGGATACCGAGGATCAGCACATGAACAAGCTGAACACTTGGCTGTCCACCGCATTGAAAAAATGGATGATGATCCCCAACGAAAGGTTGGAACTACCAACTCGATAAACTCAGGATGCACATTTCCCTATATTTCCCTCCGATTTTACTCATTTAGGTGTGGGATGGTGTGGGCAATGTTCCAATGCTGTAGGATACTAAACACTAGACATATTCCTTATTTATATATATATACACATATATATAGCAAGTATTGCCCAAACATCCAGAAATCCGTGATGACCGAGAAGCGGTTTTTTTTCGTGCGGATCCGGGCTCGACCCAAGGCAATGAAACATCACCTATTTGGGTCCTTTCTGGTGCAGTTGTTGTTGAATGTTGTTGATATGCACTTTGACTTCCCTATTAAATAGATATGTTATGGTAGTAGTTCAATGTATTGACCATCTCCTACAAAGCTGAGTTAAGCTTATGATGCCCTGAATGCCCTGAACAAAAATCAGGTCTGAGATCGAAGATGAACCTTCCAAGCTTTATTCAAAGCTTGATCAGGAGGCACCGTCGTCAGCGATAGTGCGGCTTCAGTCGTCTGCTTCTCAGCAGTTTGATCATCCCAAAACTGAATGGCCTGGGTATTGGCCAAAACCACCGATGTGTAGAGAGTATGTTTCACAATGCTATTGCCAATTATTGCCAGATGTTTCACACCTCCTTTTTTGAAGTTTCGAAAGTCCAGGGGCCTTTTTTTCAATCTAGAGGACTTTACAATCTAGAAATGGAAAGTCCCTGACAATCACCAGTTGCAGATGAATTCTACATTTTTTCCATGATTTTCCATACAACATGCGGTTGAACCCGATGGTTTTTTTTTCCAGGAACGTGTCCAACCTTTGCAACCGCGAAGGCCATGGACGACAATTTGAGCCATGTGAGTTTCTGAGAGATAGGAGATCTGTAAACAACCACTGGATGCCGATGTAGATTCCCATAGTTTATTGGAAAATTCGCTTCTAAATGTCACAACCACTGGATGTGAACACCCAACCTGGTCAGACTTCAATGTGAGCTGGCGAATCGGACATCCATTCACGAACTCCCTGGCCGTGACGGGCGAAGCCCGGCGAAGCTGGAAGCTGCGACAGAAGCGCGACTCCGTTGGCGCCATCAGACATAAGATGAGACGTCAAACAGATAGATAATGAGTTGAAGAACTGGTGGTTTCAAACACAGACCCTATGTTAATCCTACTTAGGTTGTTGATGATGATGATGATGATGATGATCCCCAATCGCCAATGATTTGTCCTGAGACCACCAGCAGCACAAGCGGAGGTACTCACTGGGATTTGCCCAGAGCTGTTTTGATCTGCACTGACATCCAGGGAGTTCCACATGTTCAGGCGAAAGCTGCAAGAAAGATTATCTACAACGCTAAGATGTGCATCATCATCTTGCAAACACCGTGTTTTGAACATGTTCAAGATATTGATTGTGGTTGGCAGTTGGTGAAACGAAGAATATAGGGATATCGGAGGTGCGTAAACTGCCAGCTGGTTTTTCTCAAAGTGATATTTTACAGATGTGTTTGTCGTCACCTCCTTGATGCATTGCATTTTGGATACGGCATGCCTGTTTCTTTTTGTAATGCTCAATCATATAGATCTATAATGTGGATATCTTTCAAAATTCGACAAGGACTGAACTCAATCTGGAGTCGCTCAGCAGATCAGATCAGAATGAGACTCAGCTAGCAGCTAGTAGCGGTTCGTTGATGCATCCGCGCCAATGATTCTTCGATGTATAGCAATAGTGAATGATTTATAATGATTTTATCACTGGAAGTGAGTGACCGAGGGTTAATGCCTATAGGGTGACTTCACCAACACAGAATTTCAATGGTGAAATCGCAGTGAAACATCCCATGTTTGGTGGTCAAATACTGGTTGATCCCTAGAAAAAGGGGGATATCCTCACAAGAAAATAAGGACTCTTTCCGACGCTTTCTACCCAATAGACGCCGCATTTTAAGTACCTCATTGTTGAGGTACCCAAATGAAAAATCTGGAATTCTGGAATCATCTGGAATCTGGATTTGAATCTGGATTTTAGATGATTTGAGTGTCAAAGCTCGAACAGCAACTCTGATGTCCACCCAAACATGGTCCTGCAATCAGTAATCTGGTAAACCCACTGCCATAAACTTACCAATTGGGGATGACATGGTACAAAAAGTGCCAGCATAAGCAAGTCATCATTTATGGAAAAATCTCCGGGATGGTTTATGATTCTTTACCACATGGCTCTATTCATTGATCCACCCACAGGGTCCTCACGATGTGACACGGCTCTGGCTTTGTCACCCGGAATGCCAGTGACCTGCCTGTAGGGACTTGAAGGTGGAGCTCAAAATGATCTCTATCCAGAAACTTGGACCTGGGATGGTTGCAAAACGTCGAGTATCTCAATCTGAAGAAGTTGGCGTGTTTTTTGGTGGTGCCACATGTTTGGGCTATGGTCCACCGTGTGCCCGGGCCCGCGGAAGCCCGCGGGCCCGCGCGCAAAGGCCCGCGGGCCCGCGAAGGCCCGCGGGCCCGCGGGCCCGCGCTAGTCTTGGGCTATCGGGCCCGCGCTAGTCTTGGGCTATAGTCCACCGTGACCTTATAAGCCCGTGCAACACTAGAGACCGGCAACAGCAAGGCAAAGTAATGAAAACATTCGCACATTTTGAGACATTCTGAGCAAATTTGAAGAATTTTGAGCATTTTGGAGCCGTTTTTGTGGACCAGCTTGGGTCTTTTCGAGCAAATTTCAAACAATTTTGAGCATTTTTGTCGGGCAAGTTGGGGTCACGTCGAGCAATTCTGAGCAATTTTTGGAAGCACGATATGGCATTGTTGACCTTAGACAGGGTTCAAGATGTCTCAGTTGAGGCTGCTTTGAGACATCTTACTTTAGCTGAAAAAGGTAGCTGATGTAAACCCCACGGATCTATATAGACCCTAAAAGGTAAGGGCGCCTCTAAGAGGCCGTGTGTTTCAGCACATGGATATGTTTCTATTCAATTATGTTCCAAGGTTTTGCCACAACGAGAGCGGTTTTTCACAGATATCTATATTTTGTGGGTGTATCAAAAGTCATGAAAGGGTATGGAAAAATGAGAGTCACGGTGTGATTTTAATGGTTTTTGTGGGACGAAAGCCATCAGCTTGGAAAAGACAGCGTTACGCTTTTTCTTCTGCGTTGCCGACGTCTTTGTTTCAGCCGCTTTTGCGGCCAAGTGTCATCAACGTATCATCAACGCATGATCAACGTAACATCAACGTATCCACAGCGCATGATCAACGTATCATCAACGCATGATCAACGTAACGTCAACGTATCAACAGCGCATGATCAACGTATCATCAACGCATGATCAACCTAACGTCAACGTATCATCCACGTACCATCAACCTAGCATCAACGTATCAACAGCGCATGATCAATGTATCATCAGCGTATCATCCACGTCGCATCACCTTGCAAGCAAGAGATACATGAACGTTATTGCACCCCCCCACCCCACCCAACCGCAACAGTAGCATCAACGTCTCCTCAACGTAGCATCAAAGTATGATCAACGTAACATCAACGTAGCATCCACGTCGCATCAACTTGCACGCAAGAGACATGAATGATATTGCACCCCCCCACCCCACCTCACCCCACCCCACCCCACCCCACCCCAACAGTAGCATCAACATCTCCTCAACGTAGAATCAACGTATGATCAACGTAACATCAGCGGAGCATCCACGCCGCATCACCTTGCACACAAGAGACATGAACGTTATTGCAACTACCTGCCACCCCACCCCACCCCAAAAACCTCAAAAAAGCACGGCCTCTTAGAGGCGCCCATACCTAAAACGAGACCAGTGAGTATTATAAAATAGCTTCTGGAGAAGTATTATGAAATATTAGTTTTTTCAAATGGTTCAATTGGACAAACCTTGCGGTGCCAGCATCCTGGGGTCATCAATTTGTGAGGATTCCACCCAAAAGTGCACTGAAAAAATGGCGTTGTAGGCGTAGGCTGGGATTTTGTGAATGCAAGGTCTGATTTGACCCATGGGATTTTGTAGAGCCCGAACTGACCTCTACTTTGCATGACGGCGCTCATGAATCGCTTTTCTGTGATTGTACAGAAACTTGGAGTTTTGGAGGGAGCAACAGGCAAGGGTTCAGTCCACACGGAGAGGTTAAGATGATTTAAGTTCACTCATTTTTTGAATCTTTGGAACTTCATACCGCGTGACCATGCCCTTTGATTGAATAAAACACCATAGCGGACAGGGACTGTGCTGCCTGTATCGTGCTTCCATGTGCTTCTTTCACTTTGTTAGTGTTGTCCCTTCACCTGCATGTTCCGGGTTGTGAGATTCTATGTCAGCCACTCCTCTCCTCCTTCTTGTCCTCCTCGCCGCGCCTGACCTCAACCGCAAAACCCGGATCAGAGTGGTGCCTGCCGGACCTGGATCACAAGCGCCTGGGTGAGATAGAATGCCACACTGAAAGTGAGAAGACACAATAGCCACGTATGCCAGAAAGAATTCCAAAAGAGATGCCATAGCATGGCGGCCTTGAATTGTCAGAAGTTATGCCAGATAGACACATATGCCAGATAGCACACCAAAAGATATGCCAGATAGAACGCGCGGGTCCGACTATGTCAGTTTATGCCAGACTATATTTGAAAATATTTGTTGGATTGCCAGAATAAATACCGGAAAAGATTTGCTAGACACAGATGCCAGACCGAATGCAAGAAGATATAGACGATAAAATGCTGTCCTGAAAACCCTCGGGCCCGCACGGGCCCGCGGACCCGCGAAGGCCCGCGGGGAGAGCCCGCGAAGGGCCCGCGGAGGCCCGCGGAGCCGCAGGGCCCGCGCGGGCCCGCGCAAGTCTTGGGCTATCAGGGGACCTATGTGGGCCCGCGCAAGTCTTGGGCTATCAGGGGACCTATGTCCATGTTTGAGCCTATATCAGGAAGTTGTGGAGAAAAGAACGCCTTCCAAAATTCAGCTAAGTGCGCCCCTTTTGATATCAGCACAAATAAGATTTGATACGCCTTTACACCAGGAGTTTGGAAGTGCAACTGGATTCTTTGTTTTCTTTTGGCAAAGTCAATTTGGCCTGGAAGTTCCTATGAGTGGAGTGCACTGCGCTAGCCACTTCCAAGCTGGATGGTCGTCTCGTTTTCGTTTGAAGAAATGATCGGAAAGCGGACACATCTTTTTGGCATTCAAATCGCCATGAATGGTTCGCCATCTGGGGCATTTTGTGGCTTCAACTCCTGGTATCTGGTTGAAGTCAGATTTGTTGCACCATCCAGATTGGTTTATCCTTGGGCTCCAAGCGGGTTTAGATACAGCTCAGACAGTGCCAGTCGCCCTGCACTATGGCCCAGCCGTTTTCAAAGCTGGGTGAAAGACTTCTTGCCGGCAGTCGAAGAAAAAAACATCAGGAGATCTCCCGCATATGAACCTCAGGAATCCCTAGGTTCATGGTTGATAGCGATAGTATATGACAGCATATGGATGCATATGGTAGTATATGAATGATAGTTATTCATGGGGTCGTAATTCTTCCACTTGAAAATGTTGTAGCAACAGTGCCAATGGACCACATCTTTTCCGAGAGGTATAACATCTCCATCCCCAGCCTTGAGAATCCATTGCTGAAAATTGGTCATCCAAAAATACAGAACTCTTAGATGAAAAACAACATGTACTACCCATCTTCGGTGATCATAAACCCAGGTGATCCAAGTTCCCAACTGACGAAGTCCATCATTTTTCAGAGGGGTGGCGAAAAACCACCAACCAGATTATTATTAGCCATTATTAACCATATATTAACCATATATTGCCAATGATTTTCCACCACATTTGTTGCGTGCGACGCGCAGAACTGAGGCGGGTGGCAAAGCAGATCGATGCACCAGAACATGTGAAGCTGGAGTGGCTAAAGGAGGCGATCTCTGGGCGAAAACGGAAGATTGGCCGTGGTTGTGGCCTGTGTTTAATTTGTTTTGGGTGGGATATGTGTATATAATCGTGTATATAATATATTTATATTATGTTATATTATATATATTATATATATATATATTATAATGTATTACATATGATATAATATGTATCATAGATTTTATAGACATTTGGAGGCTGATGTATTTTCTTCCCTTAAATTATCTGGGACTGTAGCTCGTTGCTGCTGGGACAAGGCTTTGGAGAGAAACTATGACCATGACACATGACAACTGAAAGCGGATGATCCACCATGACGAGAGGGAATGTGCCAACTGAAAACATGACAACTATGCATGGATCGGCAGTTGGCACACCCCAACATAGAGAGCAACCCAGGACCTGCCTAGCGTTTTTTGGGGGGTCATGTAAGTTGAAAGCCTGAATGCCTTGACAGTCCATCAGATTGTGAGGTTTCTGAAGTTTTAGATAGATCTGCGCGAATGGCAAAAGTATCATTTCATCTATTGTCACTGGCTGTACATTTTGATGGATGAAAAAACATGTTAATAGAACTGTTTCAGACCCGGCTGGTCGACTGGTGGTGGACTACCATAGCGTCTGCTAATTGGTTCGAGGCTTCTGTATTATGATTATAATGCCGTTTATTTATTGATTGGAATGATCATCATCTATGAAGTAGGACTTGGGAATCCCGTTCTTAATCAAACATGTGACTTCTATGGACCTGGTGGGTCTTGAAATCGGAACACCACTTGGCTCTGTTGGAAAGCAGGGTACCCCGAATCGAGTGGTTGATCATCAGTTTCCCATTAGACCACTGGATCAATACGTGTGATTAAAATTGATCTTGGGAACATCATGTAATTTTATGTAATTTTGGTGGACCATATTCTCCCCAGAATCCATTTATAATATATATATATGTATATAATATATATAATATAATATATATATAGTATATATATATATTATATTTTTTTGGGGGGGGGTATCTCCCATGACGTAGCTTTCACTTGGCCAGATTGGACTGACACATGCTCGTGTCACTGCTGGTGCCCAAAATCTTCTTCAACTGGATGCTATGGCAGGGACCTTAGTTTTTTAAGCCGAGGAAGTGGCGAAGCAGAGCCTTTGGGGCGCCAAAGATGATCAAATAACATCCAAAACATCAAATTGCCAGTAGTTGATATGAGTTCCTCTAATTGACTGTATAATATGTGGAATTGGTGGGTGTACCATGAGTTGTAATTGACATGTCATTTTTCTTGCATAGCCGTATTTAGTGTGAGTATGTTTCTTTACACTATATATTTTTTTTTTTGCAGATGTGTTGACCATATTTTGGTTGGGATATCCTTTGGTAATCTAACATTGCTATTGAAACTGGCCTATCTATAGATGATTTACCTGCTAAAAAACCTTCCAGAGAGGGTTCAACCACCAGACATTCTGAGGTCGCCAAGATTCTGATGGTCTCAGAGAGAGGCCCAATATTTTGATGGCAGTGCTACAACTGAAAGGTGCTACACACCATGTGACACATCATGTATGACATGGAAATTGAAATCAAATTGTACCAATGTATAATATGAATATATATATATATATTTTTATATATAGATAGATAGATAGATGTATCTAAATATATACATATATAGATATATTTAAATGTATATATATATATATATCATTATATATATATCATTATATATATCTCATTATATATATATATGTATCATATTATCTATATATATAGGTACATATATTTACCTATTCTGTTGCTGTGATTTGCTTGGAACTCGCATGTTGCTAGGTAGATCAAAGTTTATCAAATACACTTTCTTTCGATTGTCGGGAGGATGCAATCAAACATGAGTCACTGTTTCCATCCATTGCGTCCATATTCGATGTCGCAGGCTAGAAGCGGGAGGGTCGGCTGCCCAGTTCGCAGCAAGCAGTGCCGTAAAGAATCAGTCCAGGACAAAGACGGAAAGTTTTGTGCACTTCAAGGAAAACTGAGGCTTTCCAGCTGCAGTTCCTGAAAATCGAGGTTTTCCAGCAATGTTTATACAACAGTACCATGACCGGAACATACCGGAACCAATGTTTTGGCGGACTCAGGTCAGAGCGGCCGAAGGGAGTCAGGCGCCTGAGATCTGCAATTCATGAACCTATTTGAGTGGAAGCGGGTAGCTGGTAACGGCTGGTAATCAAACGTGGAATTGGAAAATCCACCATGATCACCATGTGTAGCATTTTGTACCAGATTTTCTCATTAACACCGCCATTTATAAGGCCTTTTTTGATTACCAAAGGGTACTGTAGTGTGAATATCCTCAACAACATAGGGATGCGTGGGAGTAGTCATGTTTTGTCGAAGAAATGGGAAGTTTGCACCAATTCATTGCAATTTCATAGTAGGGAACTAAGGTGATGATGTATGTTGGCGATTTACCACGGGATGGAACCGGATCCCAAAACAGATGGTTTAATAAAGCCATACCCATGACTTAACCCATAGCCATGTTAGGCGAGTTATTGGGCTATGCAAATGTGGTAAATGGCATGCCCTGGGATTCCAACCGCTCGCACTAGGTGAACGAAATCGAGCGGCATTTCATGTGGGTTGCACCATGGGCGCCCCAGCCCATGGTCTGGTGGGTTGACTGTTGTACGCAGTCTGGACGGCGAAAAGGGCAGCGCTGCACGGATAGAGCCAGTGACCATGGTCTCAAGATGTCCCAAGAAACATGGACATGTCAATCCCATGACTTTTTGCCACGTCTCAACGATTCAACCTGATTCAACCATGTTTTCCAAGTTCAGGTTAAATTGGGAATGGTTTATGGTTCATTGATATTTATTGGTTTTGCCACCATGCTCGCTAACCGCTTATGACTCATTACGCATCCTTGTTTTGTTCCTTCCAAAGTTAAGTAGTTCACATGGTTAAATCATGTTAAACCCCTTAATTCTCAGTGATGAACCCTCCACTGACCAGTTTTTGTGCTGTGAAAAAGCTCCCAGACCTGTTCCGCTGGCATTTCAGCCTCCCAGAAGCACAGGGCGGAGGCAGTTGGAAGCCGCCAGCTGAGAAAATGCCAATTGAAAGATCTTTAATGGCAGGAGCGTCATGAAAATCCAAAAGAATGACAACCAGGGACCTTCCATGAGTGAATTGATAAAATCAGTTCCTTTGCTTTTTCTTGTCCATTTTTTGGGTTGGGAGTTGGGAAGGTCAAATCTAGTTTTGGGAGCTGAGGCGCCATGTTGGGTGCAGCGGCGGCTGTCAATAAGGCGAAGATCATCTGTGTGGGAGCCAAGCGGCAAAAATGAGCAAAACTGAGATGATTTGAGAAGGCAAACACTGAGATTCAGCAAAAATCAGGAGAAATTGTGATTCGAGCAGCAAACGCCGAAATGATGATGTCAGCAGAAACGATCTAGGGATGTGACCTATTCTATGATAACATGTATGAAGTTAAGCAGCAAAACGTCGGGAGAACCCGGGAGTGTAGTTGAAAGCAATTTCAGGCCTCAGAAAAAGGAACAGCTTGGATTTTGGATGGAAGACAGCATCCATGTCATCCCTGATTTTCTGTGATCTTTCTAGTTCTGCAAGCTGGAGGTTTCACATTTGATCCAAGGTCAACAATGTTTGGCTCCGGGACATTGGACCTACGAGTGCAAAAATGGAAGCACCTACCAGGCACGTCAGAGACACCTGGATGGATGAAGCGATGGTAATTCACACGTCAGGTCCGGGCGAGTGCCAGCAGACAGTTGCGGCAGAAACGCTTCAAACAAGCCTTTCTGGAAGAAGAGGCGCTCAAAGACTTGTTTTTTAATCACGTTTCATCTAGCAGCCTGGGTTTGACCAATGAAAACCAAAGGGATTTAACCGATGAACATTCTAGATACAGGTTTGTCTTCCTATGAAGAGGAGGGCCTTGAGAAAAGCCGCGAGTGACTGGAAGATACTGGAAGCAGAATCAGATTTTCCCTTGACTCCATCAGCTCCCCTTTGGATGTGATGGTGAGGAACATCGATGGGAAGATATCGGGGGATGTCTCCACGTGCTGATTTCATGTTGGCAGGCGCCTGCCGTGCCTCACAATGCCTTTCTAGGCGGGAAAATGCTGGAGTGCTGTCTGAAATTCACCTCCTGGTGGAAGAGACATGAGTCAGGGAAGATCAAATATGCTCCATGTTATTTATACATCTACATTCGGGTCATCATGGCTAGTGTTGATACATGTTGCACACAGCATTTGGGTATTGTTTGTGCCTTCAAAATCTGAATTTTCTGCAGGTGATGATCGCATGCGCTTCGGGACCAGGAAAGAGGCGAACGAGCCCCCCGAGAAGAAACCAAAGACGGAGAAGGCCCATCTGAAAATATCTGAATTTTAGGGCAACGGATGTGCAATGCTTGGAAGATGTTGGAAGATGTTGGGAGATATATCGATGTACCATGATAATCCACGATATAAAGTTTATAAAGACAACACGACCAGCAACTAAAGTTGGGCATACAACTGACCATCCACTGTGACTACGGATGTATTGCCACCATGGCACCCTGCAGTGTTTTGTCTGCCATTGCACCAGGATGAGAAAAAGGAGAAAAAAGAAAAGAAGAAAAAGAAGGAGTCTCCCGTCTCAGACTGGTGATTTACCATGCAATTTGACCGTTTTCTATATGGAACACCACCATTTTTGTTAAGGTCAACATTATATATTCTATAATTCTATAACCGTTAAATTACCATGGGTAACCATCCAAAATGGAGAATTTGGACCGAACCAAAATAGCGGATTGATGCACGGTACCAAAGATTCCTGGTGATTGGATGATTTTTTTAATGGGATGATCTGGATTGACAAGCAGATTCTATTCAAACCACCAACGGCACCGGCAGTCTGGCTGTTCAACCAATGAAACATTGGGGGAGCCCCTGATCTCACTGAATTTCTCCATTTTGCCACTGGGATCCCAGATGAATTCCTGCCAAAGAGCACCAAAGATATTTGGGATCACTTGCTTTCGAATTTTGATAGGAATCCTGAAATTTGGTTTGGTCACTAGCTGAAGGTAAATGAATCATGCCAAGGTGTTTTGTTTCATATGTTATCGGGAACATGTTCGCAGACTTTGGATGTTGAATCCATGTGTGTTTCTGAGTCGTTGCAAGGTAAGGCGTTTTGTTGTAACATGGCATCTTTCGCTAAATGGCTACTGGTTTGTTTTGGAGATCATCTTCTTGAAGTTGTTTTTCAGATTGGGGAAATTATATGTTCCGGTTATGTCAGTTGCAATGTGGGTGCAATGAAGTAGGGATATTCAAGACAAAACTTGCTGTAAATCACGTGTTTTCACCCGCTAAAATTCTCTTTCCTGAGTTTCCTGTCCGAAAATCTGTCAAACACGGGTTTTCTTGTCAAACATCCTTCCAAACCATCAGTTTTTCCTGTGAAGTTTCCACTCAAACCCATATGGTTTCCCATAGTTTTCCAGGAATCTCCGTCCCAGGTCATCCTCTAGTAGCAGTTCAGATAGCTCGGACAGCTCCAGTAGCTCCAGCTGATCAAACAACTTGGAAAAAAAAGGTGCAGATTCGGATGAACTTTCGCTGAAAGCTGTTTTCTGGTTGAATTTCCAGTTGAATTTCCGCCGAAAACATGGGGAAAGCCCAATTGATGAATTGAATGAAATTCTGTGAAGTGCAAGAGATGTATCTTTTTGTTTTTGGTGCCTGCAGCCTCTGGCGCGGAGCAGTCCATGGGAATCCATGGGTCATTGAACGTTTATTCAATGGAGCAAATCGGAGAAGTGGGGATCCCAACTATCCCAACCTTTCAAAACCATGCCTTACAAGCCATATGTATCTATATATATATATACAGTTGTTATATACATATAATCATTCATATATATATATACATATGATGGGGCGATATGGGGCAGATGTTGCATCTGTCTAGTGCCTATACTTTCTTCTGTGCGATTCGACAGATCCGATGCTTGCCATGTGTGGATCTTCGATCTTCATCCTTTGCATCGCCTGGGCTAGAGCTATCGGTCCAACGATCCGTACCTTGTTGACAGCAGGAGATACTGTGGATGGGCCAGCGAACTCCTGCACCACCAAAAGGATGGTTGAAACCCTATAAATAATGGGAACGGATAAACCACCTATCAACTGCTGGTTCAGGATTTCGCAACCATCCACCGTAGGTTTCAAGAAAAACATCATTTGGGGTGCCCAAAAATGCCGCGGTCAGCTGGTTGGAGAATTAACAGGGTATATAATAATGTATATATAATAGTGATAATTGTTGTTATCATGATAATAGTGTTGTTATAGTGATAACTGTTATTATTAATTAAATTGAAAATAAAACGAATTCCTGGGATCCTCAGTGAGACTTTGGAGTCCCACATATTTTTTACTTAGATCCATATGATGCCAAAAGCTCTGGACGTGGCTGACAATTGTTCGAAACCCGTTGAAACCTGGAGTCCCGAGCCGGTGCTTCCTGGAAACCATAGAAACTACTGGTTTCTCAGTTTTTGGCATCCAGAGTTGGATGGAAATATGCAGTTTTTGTTGTTGGCCATGATGTTGGAATCCGAGTTATTCCCAATCCAAGCATGTTGAGACAAAAACAAGAATCTGGAACTCAACTTTGCAACTTACATGTGTTTTGCTGGTTTTCAACATCAAACTAAAATATAGGTATTCTTTGACAACGATCAAACCCAACAGGTTTCCTAACTTTGTTCGGTGACCCGAACAATAATAGATGTTTAAGGCTCGCCCCATTCATAGGGGGTGGCGGTGAATACACCCTTAAGAAACCTAAACATTGTTATATAATTGAGTTCATGTTCATCCCTTTCAATAGTATTATCAAGATATCTCATTTTCTATTTTTATCGTTATATATATTATATATATCTTATATATATCTTATATATATCTTATATATATCTTGTATATATATATATATCGTATATATATCTATATATATATATATTAAGATATCTATATTAAGATATATATATTATGTATCCCACTACTAAAATGCCCATAATAAAGTCCCTGTTTTTTTGGGTGAATCGCTTGACCGGGACGACACGACCCCGGCGTTGAGCTGAGGTGCTTCGCCAGAGCTAAGGGTGCTGCAAGGAACGGCCGAAGAACGCTTGGGTCGCTATGATCGAGTCACTGGATGATTAATTCGGAAATGTTCGATGGATGTTAAATGGGATAACGAAATTTTGGATGGTTAACATTTCATTTAACATCATTTAACATCCCATGATAAAAAGATGATAAGATAAAAGATGCAATGTTAAATGAGTCACTTGATGATTAACTCATTTTAATGGAATCTATAGAGATAAACAGCTATAAGTGATGTAAGTGGATAGAATTGATAAATGACGGTTGGTTGATGATTAGGTTGGGGATTATTGGGGATTATCAAAAACCATGAACTGGGAAATCCGTTCTTAACCCAGTGTAAAGGAACGAAAGAGGGTTTCATTGCGCAGTTAAAGGTAACATGTGATCTAGAACTGGTGACTTTTCCATGTTCTATGTTACAAGGTGAGGCCCCAAACTCGACAACTAAGTTGACGTAGATAACTTGATTAACTGTTGGGTTTTTGGGGGACACGACATGATATAACATGATATAACATGATATAACTAGATTTAATGGAGTTTATGAACCAACAAACCATAAGTGGGCCTCACCTGGCACCGGAAACCATGCTTCACCCATTAGATATGGTGGTTTCCGGTCAAGATGTTCCCTTAGACTAACCCAATGAAACATGGAGTTTTGGAAGGTGATGTTTGTACTGATCATGGCCATTTTTAGGGATTACATTGATTACATCCCCAATTTTTATGGGAATCACATGGAAAACCAGAGGGGTTTTGTGGATGGCTTGTGGATGGCTTGTGGATGGCTTGTGGATGGCTTGTGGATATCCATTTTATTGAGGGCCATTCTAAGATTGCCATTAGAATGATATATGTTGATATATTTAATGGGGAATATCACCGCAATATTTTTTGGGGATGAAACATTAAAATATAAATATTACCAAAGCATGGCAACACCATCACCCATTGGAGTTGTGGAAGGTGTGCGGATCTCCATGTTAATCAGGGATGGCCATTGAAAAAGGTCCAGTAAAAAATGGCCATTGGATAATAGCCTCTCAAGTGAGGTACAATGGCGGATATACTGTACTGAGATTAACATTTTTTGATCAAACAAAGCATTTTCTGGGGAATCGTTTCAAATAGGGGATTGAATTTTATTTGCGAAACAAGAATATTTGGGTGATATGAATATGGCGATACAATTATATAATTTGTTGCTTATGTTGGAGATTAACCAACGGCTTATAGTGATACCAACATGCTTTGAATATGTTTTGTTATGATTGGTTTGTTACTTCGAGCTAAGTATTTCCCCAGCTAGAAAACACAAAGAGCTGTTCTTTCAACTTTTTGATTTGCAATTCTAAACATTCACATTGTTTTGTTACTTCAGCCATGTTTATGACATACATTCCAAACAAAGAAAGTAAATGTTAACAGATTATGCTTGTTGAATAAAACTTGGTTTGTTTTTTTGACATTAACTTTATCAACTTATCAAGTGAGTGGTGCCATATGACATAACTGGGATCCCGGGTTGCCACGCCTAGGCCCTGGGTGGTGGCCCGGATCTGTTCATCGCCCTGGGGCGAGTGCCGGAAGCTGGTGCCGCAGCGGAAATCTTTGGCAAAATGGATGGTAAATCAATGTAAATCACCATGAAAACTGAAAAGTGGTGGGATTTTGGATGGGAATTCACATGAATTCACCCTGAACAGCCAATGAAGTTTGAAGGGCAATGTTTCTGAGGATGATGATCCACCATGACTTGGGAGGCACCGGCAACCAGTAAACTCAGTAGCCACATTGGGACTGTCCGGGGATCGAAAGCTGCAGAAAAATGGGATATGATGGGATAGACTGAGCATTGTTTCTAAAGAACACATGTGGAGATCAGACAACCTTGGGACAGATGTTTTAAAGACTGGAATGTAACTGTCAGAAGAAGGAACTTAAGACATGAATTACGATACTTCACCAACAATGACGTTAAACATTCATTTCCTTTTGCCTGGTTTTGGTCAATCAAGCTCGCATTTCAGCCGTGGTATGAGCAAATTCAACCAATTTGTTGGATTATGTTGGGGTAGACATGGTGTTTGCAGATGTTGAGGAATGATGTTTGCATAGGAAAAGAAGATCTACATCGATGCCGATCCCATGAGGTGATCTGGTGACAGAGATGGAGCTGGAAGGCCTAAAAACGGATGCCTTCATCCTCCGATCTCGCAATGTTTCCGGCCGGCTGCTGGTTGTTTGTGCTGGGAGGACCATTGGACCATTGGACCATTGGACCATTGGACCATTGGACCATTGGACTGGACGTTGGACCATGTTGGACCTGACCGAAGCTGGGGCTTAAATGGTCCACTGGTGCATAGCTGAAGAGCTGATTCAGCTGACTTCATGGGTGGAAAGAATTTTGGCGGAAAGATATTCGATTAATGAACATGTCATAGCCAGCAGTAAGATTCTCCAAGGGTATAGTGTAATTTGTTTTTCCAACTTCATGGAATGGATGACTGTTTCAGAGATGGACAAAAAACACTGACCTGCCACGTCCACTCGACAGGAGTATCCGAGCCGTTGGCTATGCCTTCTTTGAATTCTTGCAGCTGCTGGGTTTCGGTTTCCTTCATCCTTTGAAACCAGCTCCCTGGCGTTTTCCACCGATGGCCTGATGGGTGTAGATTTAGCGCCATGGAACTCATGCCACCGACAGTCCGTTGCACCAGGTTCTTCCAGATGTGCTCCCGAAGTTGCACCCACTGGATGTGCATGAGTCACCCCGTTGGGCGTTTCGAGGCGGGCTTTTTTCACGGGAGTGTTTGGTGTCGCCGTGGTTTCTTGTTCAATCTGGTCTCCCCAAAAGATTGGTATTCATCTTCAGGCGTGTAGTTGTTGATGGATATAATTTCCTACTGGGCAAGAAAGATGAAAGGCGTTCTCATTGGAATTCCACAGAAACTGTTGGAATGCGTTCTGGCAAAAAACTGACCCGGAACCCCCCCCTCCATTCCTAATCATCAGGTTGTTTTGCCAACCAAACTATCCCCCATCCCAGACTTTTATGAAGGGAACAGATCTACAGGAACTCTTATAGTTTGTAGGAAAGAACTGTGGGGAAAAAATTGTTATAAATAAGTATGTATGTCTATATTATCAATAATATATATATATATACATTGAGGGCCCACCATCAAGACTTCATTTTTCATGTGCGGATGCGGTCCCAAAAGCGGGCCCTGGTGACAGCATCGTTCGAGCACAAGCCGACTGACAGCCAAACGCACTCTCCACTACCTAACTGTGAGGAAACCAATTGCAACGGATTATGGAAAGACGCTAGCTACGTTCTGTGTGCTTTGGCAATGTGGACACCATATACAGCGCTAAAACTTGCCTCACAACTGTTGGTGGTGTATTAGAGGCTTTCAGCCTTTCCTCCTTTTCACGCGCTTTGGCTAATACCTTTGTATTCGGCCAAAGTGCGCAAAGGGTCGTTGTGACTTCCTGACATGCGGGTTTGAGGGTCGTAGGTGTGGCCTTGAAGGGTCGTAGGTTGAGCTGTGAGGGTCGTAGGTGCGCTCCTGACATGCGGGTTTGAGGGTCGTAGGTGTGGCCTTGAAGGGTCGTAGGTTGAGCTGTGAGGGTCGTAGGTGCGCTCCTGGCATGCGGGTTTGAGGGTCGTATGTGTGATCTTGAAAGGTCGTCGGTTGAGCTGTGAGGGTCGTAGGTGCGCTCCTGACATGCGGGTTTGAGGGTCGTAGGTGTGGCCTTGAAGGGTCGTAGGTTGAGCTGTGAGGGTGGCAGGTGCGCTCCTGAGGTTGTACCACGCACCTCCGAAGATGCACGCAAGACAGCTTCCTGACATAAGCGTTGTAAAGGTGGCACGCTGCCAGAGAGCAAGAGGTCAGCATGGCGTTTTGCGGCTCCGGAAAGTGGACCCTTTTCACTGATTCAAAACAGCTTCTGCGCCATGTCCCCTCATAGTATTATACGGATGTGTGTGTCCATGGCGGCTTGCATTGCAGAAGGAAAGCTGGCGCCAGCAAATGGACGAAATCCGGGCCGTCAGGACCGTCACGCAGCTCCTGGTTGCTCTTTCGCGGTCCCAAAAATGGGGCCAAAAACCGGCCCCAAAAACGGGGCCGCAATATTACCGGAAGAAGGAAAGGCTTCCAAAATGGCGGCCCCATTTCTGGGACCAGTGTGTTGCATACACAGTCAGCCCCCCTCTGCGTGCAGTGAGTATAGCGGAGACTTCGGAACATTTCGTTTGTTTTCCTGCCAATTGGCTTGACAAAGCCTCATCCAAGTTTCACATTGAGGGCCCACCATCAAGACTTCATTTTTCATGTGCGGATGCGGTCCCAAAAGCGGGCCCTGGTGACAGCACCGTTCGAGCACAAGCCGACTGACAGCCAAACGCACTCTCCACTACCTAACTGTGAGGAAACCAATTGCAACGGATTATGGAAAGACGCTAGCTACGTTCTGTGTGCTTTGGCAATGTGGACACCATATACAGCGCTAAAACTTGCCTCACAACTGTTGGTGGTGTATTAGAGGCTTTCAGCCTTTCCTCCTTTTCACGCGCTTTGGCTAATACCTTTGTATTCGGCCAAAGTGCGCGAAGGGTCGTTGTGACTTCCTGACATGCGGGTTTGAGGGTCATGGGTGTGGCCTTGAAGGGTCGTAGGTTGAGCTGTGGGGGTCGTAGGTGCGCTCCTGACATGCGGGTTTGAGGGTCGTAGGTGTGGCCTTGAAGGGTCGTAGGTTGAGCTGTGAGGGTCGTAGGTGCGCTCCTGGCATGCGGGTTTGAGGGTCGTATGTGTGATCTTGAAAGGTCGTCGGTTGAGCTGCGAGGGTCGTAGGTGCGCTCCTGACATGCGGGTTTGAGGGTCGTAGGTGTGGCCTTGAAGGGTCGTAGGTTGAGCTGTGAGGGTGGCAGGTGCGCTCCTGAGGTTGTACCACGCACCTCCGAAGATGTACGCAAGACAGCTTCCTGACATAAGCGTTGTAAAGGCGGCACGCTGCCAGAGAGCAAGAGGTCAGCATGGCGTTTTGCGGCTCCGGAAAGTGGACCCTTTTCACTGATTCAAAACAGCTTCTGCGCCATGTCCCCTCATAGTATATATATATTTGTTCCCCCAACTTCACTGATTGGTGCTTCGATCATTCTTCATGTTCATCGAAATGGGATAATGACCCCAATGTCTCATTCATCAGAGTGGCTGGGTTGAAACTCACCAATCAGTTCCAGCCACTCAGCTGACTCAGCCAGGATCACATTATCACACGCAGCATCCCCTAGAGCTGACGAATTTGTTAAATGGCTACGATGATCACGGGCAGACAGAGGACCGAGAGCGCTGGGCCCTTTCTCTCAATGCTTGGCAGGCAGGGACAGGGCCAACAGGGTTTGAGGCCCAAGGAGGCAAGCTGTTTGGGGTCCGAAAATGGGGGATGCCATTTTTTTGTTGCAATGGATGATGATAAAGGAAATTTGGGGATATCCAATGTTCATACAAACATCTTTTTGTCGGGAAGCCACCAAAAACAGGGAGCCAACCAACGTGATGTATTATTTTCTGCTCATCTGAGTGTAAAACTTCCAATACTAACTGCCCACTATTGTAAAAACTAGGTTGTTGAGGTCGTTTGAATTGTAGGATAAAAAGTCTGTACGCACCACATTGCAGGGGCACACAAACTAAAACGTTGCCTTGGGTCTCCCTCAAAGCCAGTACCTGATCCCCAACCGCCCAAAAAACTTGGGGTGACCAAGTTGGAACCTAATTATTCATCTATATTTGGATCCCATTGTACCCCCTACTATATCCATCTATATCCCCACTTTATAATAAATTATATCATATATCCTATAATATCCCATAGTCATAGCAGAACGAAACCATTAAAGTCATCCAGGGGGTGACTGGTTTGACTGCTTTGGTGTTGCCGGGGCCACGTCAGGACTACTTGGATTGGTTGCTGGCGCAGAAACAGAACTATGTGGAGTGGATGCTATTGGCTGACCGACGACGAAAGGACCACAAGGAGGACCTCAAGGACCAGGCAAATGGGATACCCAAAATCAGAGGTTGAGGCTTTTCAACATGAGGCTATTAGTTGCTAAGCATATGTGGGATGTAGTTCATATAGTGGTGATCTTGATGTAGAGTATTAATGAGGATTTCTTAAATCTACTCTGTAATTGGTTTGGTGTTGAGAATTCTTAGCCGCGGAACCCCTATGAACCGACCACAGCCTAGAGATGACATTTTGGGATACTATCTTTGGTTTCTGGCCTTGCTCAATGACATTACCAGATTGATCCCCTCTGGTAATTTCACGTAGCTCTGGGCTTTCTCCCCTTAAAACATGGAAGTTTCAATGGGAAAAACATCGTTCCCGACCTCCATTTGGGGACCCAACCTTGAAGTCATCCTTGTGGATCTCTAATCGTAACAACCATAAAGTAAAATGTGTTTTACTTGGTGCTGGAAGTGGTTCTTTGCCATAATGTTGAAACATTGTGAATCCTGCCTTCAAAGATCTTTGGACCGAAATATGTATATATATATACACATATATATATATATATATACACATATATATATATACACATATATATATATATATATATACATACACATATTGTTTCCATCCGGACCATCTTTAGCTGCGATATTCTCAGATATGATCAAACATCAAACATCAAACAAATTTCCGCGAAAATCTTTGTGTATACATCGTATTTCAATGGCATTCCCCCTTTTAATGGGACCATCAGGGGATATGGAACTAACTCTACCACTATTGTCCACAATCGCATCGCAGTTTACAATTTTTTCAGGGGGACGAGTTCATCATGATGCCCAGATAAATCAATTGTTGAGATACATTGGGATAAGCCCATATTTTTAGTAGGCGGATTGGTTTTGTTGATAAATCTCATGGATTGACAATATATGCAACATCCTCTTTAATATAATTCATCCCAATATTTTCAATATGAAAGTGGATGTCGAACAACACTGAGAAATTCATACTATCCCAACCATAGCAATCATCATACTTGTCTATAAATTATATTTTCCCCAGAATTTGGCAAGAATTCAGGTTGATATCCAAGTTAATATATTCTTGACTTTTCATATTCGTAGCATTTGGATAGCACACATATTATAAACATCCAAATTTCACTGGTTGTTCGAATTATAAACATCTATCCATTGTAGTTCATAAAACATGGATAACAACTATGCATGAAAATTGGATCCCCTCACGCAAACAGTTGGACCCTGAAAATCACCAACAATTCAGCAAAGTAAATGGGGGTTGTACAACATAATCTTCCAACCCCCTAGTTGCAGGGTCCATGGATGTTCAAGCTAATTCCATGGTAATTCTTACGCTAAACGAAGGGAATGGGGTTCATAATCCAATCCATAACTATCAAGCATCCCATTCCTCCATTCACCAGTAAGTTTTTCATGATCCCATAGGAAACATCCGTAACTCCGCAGGCTAAGCCTGGATTTGAGCTGAGTGATGAACGGCGTTGGCGTCTGCAGACCTTGGTACAAGCTGCACATGACAAGGGCCTGGAGGTTGGAGAAATGCGAGAAAATCATGGGTTTTTCATATTTCTTCATGGTGATTGATTTTGGAGTTTTGCGATTTTTCTAATAGATTGCAGCTATTAGATTTGGGTGGTTCATACTGATTAATCTGATTTTGGATGGATTGCGATTTGTTTGATTGATTGAATGCTATATTTGGATTGATCAAATATTTCGGAATAGAATAGATACTGTACGTTTTGAAATATTTAGCAGATCGATTAAGGGAACAAACAATGAAAGGACACCACAATTTTGGCAGTTGAAACCAAATGAAATAGTGGTGCTTTTCAATGATGAACAAGGGATTTGGCTGTAAACCCTTTTTCTGGCCAAAAAACAGGCAATGGTTCGAAATGTTGGTAATTGCTCCTTAAAAGGAGTTATTATTTGATATTATTTGAGATCTTTAGTTGAATGCTTTGTCGACGACATCCAAAGGCAGTTACATATTGCGACACATATGACATATGACATCGGCATATTTGATGGCATATAATATAGATTTGAATTTGAGACTCAGGTCCAACCCAAGTTATTTGTTCACCTTGCTGGTTTTTGAATTTGTGGTTCCGTTTGTGAAACCTCGGTATCGTTTGGCCAGGTGGGTGTTGATGTGCCTTTGTCGTTGAAGCAACAGCATGCACTGAACTTGCTGCCGAACCAACGAGGAGATCACCAAGAGGAGGTCAGTCAGAGATTCCAGCAAAATCCAGCAAACATTGAAGAAATTTGGGACAATCATTGATCATTGAACTAAACAGGGGAATTTTCCGGCAAACCATGGTTGATTACCGGAGGCTATTGCCAGTTGAAAGTTTCTTGAACTGGAGGGCTTCAAAATGATCCATGGTGTTTTCAACGGTTTTCGATAGGAAAACCCATGGTTTTGCACCCCAATTTCAAGAAACACTCATATGACCATCTCTCATCTACTTTCGGACCATTCACATTGACTGAACGATTCTGGATCCAGTATTCTAAGCTGGTGATGTCACATTGTAGCTGAGTGACGATGCAGTGAATTTACTCTATGTTGTTGCGTGAATTTTCCCCATTTCTTCGGCTGGCGGCTGGACCTTCCACCAATCACTTGAGCTGGAAACATCACACCAGTTTCCGCTCAACTTTGGGGGAAAACCTTCAGTTTCCAACATGTTTCTGAAGTTCTCCATGTTTGCCTCACCATTTTCCCAGCAGTTTCCTCTCAAAAAAAGGGTGGACTCTCCCCTTTTTGTGGCCCGCGACCTTCAGAAAGGTGCGGCGCCGCATCCGTTGGCTTCGCAGTTGTGGCTTTGACCATTTGGGCACTGAACTCGGGAGTACAGAGTTCACACGAGGCTTGACACCGGGGTGTCCCCACTCGGCGATCAACAAATGGAGAGATTTTGGCGATTTTTTACTGGTGTGCTTTATGAAAAAATTAATGGCCCCATACTAAGTACACTTGAAAAAACCTAATTCTGAATTCTTTTTAGGATTGGACCATCCATTTTTGGGGGATGGCTTGGAGCCATACGCTGGTAAGGTGATGTTGAGGATGTTGATGCGCAGATTTTCCAGCCAGTTCCACTTCAAGTCGTTGTTTACATGTTGTTTGTACTGTAAGAGGACGGAATCAAATTGTGAATGACACGGTGTGGGAGCAGTTTCAGGGCAGCCAACCGTGACACATCGCTGAGAAAATGTTCGTTTCAACTTGGAAGTCTGTGAATACACCGACATGAGTGTACCCAGTGTACCACAGCGCTTTGAGACAAACTAGACACGAACAGGATTTCTTGAGCCTCATGTCGCAAGATTCACCGCCAGCATAAATCACTAGGAATGAGAAGAAATAGTTTGCAGAATTATGACCCTGGATTGAAAGATGTGTTGTCTTCCGAAACTTCTCAGAGGGCCAATGGGTTGGTTTGAAGGAAAATCTCTAAAACCATATGATCCATATGGTTTTCCCAATGAAACAGCGGCTTTCCTGGGGTGATTTTCTCTACCAATCCACAGGGCAGTGGCAGTGGTGGCATGAACGCAGGTCTGAAGGCCTCCGAGATGGTTCAGCTGTTGAATGTGGCGCAGGAGATGGGATTTATTGAAATGTCAGCTTGGTGAATGATTATGATTTGCCCATGTAACATATACATATATATATATTCAATATAATATTATATATATATGTATATATATGATGATGATTTTTATAATGATGATTTAGTCCTTGATAATTTAGTAATATTTTATAACGATACTTTGATGATGATAATTTAATAATGATATTATGTTATGTGTATGTATATATATATATATTAGGTATGTATACTTCATAAATATATGGGCTATGGATCAAACATGTGGAACCCTACAGTAACGGATCCACATCAAAATCGCTGCTGATTGGTAGTTACTGGTAGTTACTGGATATCCATCAGATGCATCACGTGCTTCATGCAGGATGAGCTCGGGTCACAGAAGCTATTGGTGAAGAACCATTGCTCCACCAATCAATGGGCCAATGGCTTTGAAGATCCAAGGCGCTGTGGAATCCTCTCTGGATGGGAGATGATTTTGTTGGTCGTAGAATGGAGGTTTTTGTGAGAACGTAAGATCCTGGAAGTCTGTAAGATTTTAAAAAGTGATGTGCTGATTTGCCCAATGGCAGGCCCGGGAAGCAGGGTCAGACCTTGAACTTCAACTACCTCAACTACTATGCAAATCCGCAAATTGTCTCTCGAACCGGAAAGATAGGAAACAGCGGGATGGAATCCAGGTGCATGGTCTATGAATTTTGGGAGAGGCATCGGATGGATTTTCTGCCAGGTTTTTTCACAGATGGAGAAATTATATCATTTCTTCCATGCTGAATACTGAGGTCACTATGCCCCACACGGTGCAGGCATATTCGCTGTTGGATCCGGCACCTACCTATGGAAACAGCAACTTTTCGGATCTCGGTGCTTGGGCGGCACAAGCAGATGGAAACTGCAGGACACATGGGCTTGATATTCAAAGATGAGCCTTAAAGATCCATATTTGGTTTGACCACGCAAGGAATATATGTTAAATACTGTTTGTTTAACTGCAGAAATATATGGGGGTATACACAGGGTGAACCTTGACCCTGCAGTTTCAGGAAACTGGACATCTTTCTTACTGCAGCAGGGCCGGCCAGTGGTGTTCTACCCCGAAGCTTGGCTTTTTGAAGAACAGCCACGTTGACCGTTGACCATCTTACCAAGGTGATCGGACGCTTCCAGTGGGTGGAAAAATGCTTGGAGACATTCCTAAACCTTGAATCAAAGGGAAACAGTGCGGAGAAAACCACGAAATTTCATGGGCGGAAAGTCAGGGGTTTCCTGATGTTTCTTTGAGTTTCCAACGTCGCCAGCCTCTGTGCACCAGAGGTGAACCCAATAGATGGTTCATAGGTCCTCTAAATAGTGGTGGGTAGTTAAAAGACCCAGCCCAAACACTGTTAGTTACTTTCATGTTCAATGGTTACATCCCACTATACACATCTAATTATATTAATACATCCGGTTAATTATTATGTAACTTATATATATAAATTATATATATTAGTATATCTCATGTTTGATGGTTAAGTTATATCCCAATATATGTATATATATATATATATCCCAATGATCTCAGGAGACAGCTTACTGGGTGAACTTCGACATCTCAGTACCCTTGTTCCTGGCACCGATCTACGCCCTGGATCGTGTGGAAGATACCCAGCCGCAACATCGACGGGAATGTTACACATATATATATATGTGTGTATATATATATATGTATATATCATATGTAGCTGATATGTCATTGTATCATATAATATCATATATATTAATATGACATGGATGTTTGTACATAGAGATCAATGTGGTCATGGACGTTTATCCCTCACAGATGCTCTCATAGCAGCCTAGGATGCTGGCACCATTGATTCCATGCAGGGCTCTGTGCTGCACTTATTGCCGGCTGGTTTTCAGGAGAGCGTTGTTCACAGCTCTTCAACCTTAAACATCTTAAATGATGGATTGATGGGATGTTGATGCCAGTCAACTAGGACTCCTAAGACGTGGGTTTTTCAGGGTCATTGTTTTCACCACCATTTTCAATGTGAATGTTCAGCCAGACAGCATTTTCTGAATTCTCCATGATGGATTGCTGGATTTGAGGTGCCCCTGTTGGGCCAGCTGAATTTTGAGAGCGGCTGGCAGTGGGGCTATTGGCTTGCTACTTGGACTTTGATTGGGTGTGATTCTTCAACATTTGCAGGCATGTTCATAATTGTTTGATGGCTGAACTGTAGGATTCAATGGTTTAATATGTTTCATGCCATGAATGGCGGGCCTTTCTTGAGCCCAATCTTCTGCCTTTTTTGCCGCCAGAACGTGGGCCATTCTTATCGGTGATCCAATGATCCCAATTTGGATTTGCATTGGGAAGGACAAATCCATCAAGTTAGTGTGCCTTCGATGTGACATTTTATACATTTTTTGCATCCCAATGATCATCAATTATCACGAACAGCAGTGAAATCAATGATCCCATCTGATATTTTACAGTGAAATCGATCCACGTTTCATCCCGATCATATGATCATTCCCATGGATAGTTGGTTCTATCCATCCCCATTGGATTGGTTTAGTTGGGAAGATGTTCACCAGAAAACATTGGTGTTTATATTTTTCCACCATTTTTTTTGGTGTTTCCAGTTCAGATTGGATCCCTGAAGCCAATCCGATGGAAATGGTGAACTTGTTGGATGATTTCCCCTTTGGTCACGGCTTCATTTTAGATCTAGGGTTCATTTACCACCAGTTGATGAAAAACATGGGAAACAATGGGAAAACCATGGAAAACCAAGTTGTGGATGGTTTGTGAGTGGATATCCATTTTAATCAGGGATATGTAGTCATTTGAAACTGGCGTTTTGAATGAGATACTTCATGGGAAATACGACCAATAGATATGGGGATTCCGCCATTGAATGGAGATCGAATAATATGTGAGATACTTCATGGGGATATCAACACTATGGCGTCAGGTTAGATCATGGCCATTTTTGGAAAAATGTGGAAGATGTAGGCTTCGTTAACCATCAAACACGTCAAACACCAGCATTTTGTGACAGCGAAAATCAGGCGAACTCCGTCCAGGCTTTGACCGCGTGGCGTCAGATGCCGCTGCAGCGAACGTTTCAACAGCTCTTGCGCTTCGTGGGACTCAGGCCATGGCCCTGGTAGATCCCAAGGGGATCTCAACTGTACCTTGGGGTACAGGATCAACATCCAATCCTTGATGGGAAAACCGGATAAAAACGGCATGTATTTCATGGTGTTTTACAAACTCTGCCAAAAATGCATCTAGAATCCAGATCTGGTAGAGCAATGTGCACGTAGTTGAACTAGCAATTTCAGGAGCGCTCAATAGTTGGGGTAGAAAATGAAAGAATCAACGATCATGGATATTTCGTTATAGATGAACCCAGATATGTGTTTCTCAAAATATTTGACCCGACTTTGCAGGCAAATGATGATAATATCAGCCACTGCGACATGCGGACCCCTTGCAACACGTGACATTAATGGTATGATTCAAAGTTTTACCGCATGAAATGGTCCGTACATCAATCAATTTTTAAAACACCATTCGGGAAGATCGCAAACGACTCACACGGGCTCATACACTTATTGACCTTGGCCATGGGGTTTAATCGTGAGAGGTGACATCCTAAAATCAATGGGGATGCTAACAAGATCCCTCAAACAGAAAGTGTTTTTTGTCTGCAAATAGGCTGAAAACTCATCCTACAAGGGTCATAATATATTTCACCTTATGGGCTGAATGCCACCACAACGTGTTGTCCCTACTACGTGTAGTAGTCATAAGTTGGTTTGTTTGCCAGTTAACAATAGTTCACCATAAGCCCTAGTTGATCCATTAGCTAAGTATGGCGCACTATCTTTCTAAGTTGGTTGATATATAATCCCCATTTCTACCGACAATATAATAAAATGATAACATGGTATAACTAAGTTGGCCAGGAGTTACCCCTTGGCGGAGCTATTGGTGGATTACGCGACCGCGCAGCGGCGGCTGTTGATTCGGGGCATGCGAGAAGGAGGCGGGGCGGGTGACTCCCATGGAAATTGAAGGAGGTCTCATCGTACTTCCTGGAACCAGTCACATTTCTTGGAACATCATCAATAAATCTACTGTATGTTCAATGTATATACATAGAATGGCGATATTCACTATACTAATATATTTTTTGGGATATAATATAACCAACAAGATGGCAATGTGGACGGTATGTGTCCCTCAGGAAAGGTGACATGTGGGAGTCATGGTATAGCTACCGGGTGTACATCAACCAAACATAACTGGGCCTCAAATTGGAGTAAATACAGAGTGTTTCAGGGATATGTAGGGGTTTGGAACAGCTGTAAACCCCGCCAAAAGGGAGATTTTTCAGCCACGAGATGTTATAAGATGTGTCAATCCAGGGGTGATACGATGGTGTTCCTTCATGAATTTTAGAATGGCTGGTAACCCCAATAATGCGTCCATTAGAAATCGTGGGTGATGCGTTTTTAAATCATGCAGCCAGGTCCCAGGTACTTTTATCACCCAGATTTGTCCTGTGACATGATGACATCAATTACGCATATCATGATCTCATGCCGGCAGTCATTGATGAAAGATTAAGATTTAATAGGTCTATACCACAAATGTCAAACATTGGTAATTATGATTATTTCAAATAGCATATAGATTCAAGAGATCTGTGATGTCCATCTGGATGATTAGAATGCGAGAGATGGATATCCATGACAGATCTGGATGGGATCATGAACGATCCATATATGAGTATTCTGTATGTACCCTCTGGTAAACTAACATAGCTTTGGAAAATCACCATTTTTAATGGGAAAACTCACTATTTCTATGGCCATTTTCAATAGCTATGTTAGTTTACCAGAGGGTATCATGTATCCATCCGATATTTGAATCCTGGGATCCATCGAGATGTTTCTACTCCAGAGTCGGCCAGGTGTTCAGACGATCCCCGCCCCAGGAGTAGGCGAGGGCTCGGTTTCTTGGCTGAACATGGCTGGAAAATGGTGGGAAACCCATGGAATTTGGGGACGATCATATTTTCAGACTGTTCTTTTGGTTGGATCATTATCGGATAGTAGTTTGTTCGATTGAACCAACGGATGGGTTTATGATATTTGGGTAGCATTGAGGAGCTGCTACGGGTGAGGGTATGACTTTCATATGTTGATTCAAAGGGATGAGGGGGGGCATCGTTGGACGATAGACTTTTTAAAATATCGCAGTGATGACTGGAAATCTTTGTGATCGTCCAACCTATGCCGGAGTCAAGTCAATGTCAGGCAGGTACGTCATGAAAATATGGTTGGCGAGACTGCATAACTATCAAATACTACTCGTAGTGTGATTTAGTCGCCATGTTGGAAACAAACACATTAAGTTTTAATCAGCGTTTCCAAAAATGACTCATTTGGAGTCAGATTTTGAGACACCCTCCCTGAAAAAAGGGATTCTGATGATCTCACAGTGTCTTTCTTACATTGGACCCATATGTTCTTGGGATTTCAGCTATTCTCAGCTGATATCGGCTGAAACTTTACATGTCCCGCTCCTACCCTTGTTTTTGGTGGTTGAACCCGGCTTGTTGAGCAGATCCTAATTTCTTGGTCCAACCTCATTCTTGCTAGCGAACCCCCCCTACGTTTCCTCTCGAAATCCAAACCCTTCCTGGTGAAACCAGCATTCTTGCAGATTAGCTCCACCTTCTGACGGATTTATCTTAAATCTCATTCTTTCTGCCACCCAACCTTTGGTGAAGTCCATTGAACTCAGCATTTTTCCAGACCGCATGTTTTTTTTGCCAAGCTGACCATCTGATCTTTGGATCAAAAAGCACAGGCCACGGGCATTGCCTACCTCCAGGGCTCAGAAGGTCTGTCGGATTTGGGCTCGATGATGGCGCGCTACCTGGGCGAGGTCCGCCTTGAAAATGCCACCAGAACAGAAAGTGGGAAGGAAAACTGAGGAATACCTGTGCTGATGGTTTGAAGATTATTTTCTCAATGAGAAATCCACTATACTTGGGGAATCTTGGGGAATCAATACCAGGAATATCTTATCCAAGGGTGAAGCGGATCGACGCAGGGTGCTCCCCAGCCTGATCGATTGCATTTGATGGAGCTCCAACGAGAGGTCCGATGGGATAAAAACGAAAGGAGATACGGATCACTATGGAATGATCAAAGAAAGTTTAGAAGTCTATACTTCCGAGTTACGGAGTTTCAAAGCAAAGAAATCTCACAGCAAAGAAGTCACACAGCACAGAAGTCTCACAACAAAGAGGTCTCACACCAAAGAAGTCTCTCACAGCAAAGAAGTCTCACAGCAAGTCTCGCACGAAAGCTTCGTTTTCACATCTTCAGCATTCAGTTTATGAGGGAAGTCTCGCATCGATTTCACAACTTCAACTGTCACTTTTTGAGGGAAGTCTCGCATGAAGGCTTCGTTTTCACATCTTCATCGTTTTCACAACTTCAACTGTCACATTTTGAGGGAAGCCTCGCACGAGAGCTTCGTTTTCACATCTTCAACTTTCACTTTTGAGGGAAGTCTCGCACGAAAGCTTCATTTTCACAGCTGCCACTTTCCTCGCACGAAAGCTTCGTTTTCACAACTTGAACTTTCAGTTTTCGAGGGAAGTCTCGCATCGATTTCACAACTTCAACTGTCACTTTTTGAGGGAAGTCTCGCACGAAAGCTTTTTTTTCACATCTTCTACGGCTCCAAGAAATGAGTTGACATGAAAGGAGATGAAAGCAGCTGACGCAAGTCTGAGAAGGGCGATCAAAAGCTGAGAAGAGCTCAACTGAAAAGAGTTGAGACACTGAGGAGAGCTAAAAAGGGAAGAGTTCAGATAGCAGAGATGAGATGAGAAAAGCTGAGATGACGCGAAAAGAGAGAAGAACAGTCGACATCAACTTAGAAGAGATGGGATGAGCTGAAAATAGGAGAGAAGACATGAGATGAGATGAGATGAGGTGAAAAAACTTTGAGAAGAGACGACATGAGATGAGGTGAGACGAGATGAGATGACATTGGCTAAGATGAAGTTAGATGAAATGAGCTGACATGAGATGAGGTCAGATGAAAATGAAACAGGATCCAACCTTGAAAAGAGATAATGGCATTGGAATGAAAGTCAGGAGATTGCTGCTGCGAAGCACAGAAGGCTTGGCCGCACCCTTTAGGCACAGTCTGTGTTCCGCTCTATAGGCTATAAGCGTTTCAATTTTGAAACTTCCGCCCCCGGCTTGCCCGGGTGTAACTATCCCGAAATAAGCACTTCTTTTCAGATGAGTGAATTACAATTTATTTTTTCCAGATGAGTTGTGGAAGTTGCTTTGTACATGGCTCCTAGGTGGCCGATGGGGTTGCAAAATGGTTTGCACATTGCTATAAGTGTGTATTATGGCCGGGGCATAGCAGGGAATATATACTGTAAGTATATAAATGGGTTTTATATAAATGGGTTTGTAGGTTGGCATTTGTGATAAATGTAGCCTTATTTTTCATCCATCTACTGCCAGCAGGGGTTCGTCACTGCATATTGCATAGCCATTTCTTTGGGAATGGTACCCATTGAGTTGCATTTTTTTCACCGAAGTATTCTGGTGATTTGGTTGTTTCTATGGTTTACAACCCGAATTTTCGTGGTTCCTGTTGAGGTTTGTGGGTGAATATGAAGTCACATTCTCGTCTGTGGTGAGAACACAGTGTGATTCATTATTTAAAACGCGGCAAAATTGAAAAAAACAAGTTTGCAGATCCATTTGGTCCCACATCAAAAGACTGCGTAATTGACTACCAAACTCACAGAGAGTGGTTGTGGTCATTTCGTGCCATTTATCGGACTTCGAAGCATCCAATTTAACAATAACCCTTCGTGGTTTGAACCGCAACGGAGATCAAAGTTATCAATCCAAAATTAGGATATGGTTGTTGAATTGCTAGATTGCGGAAAATAGGGTCTTCCAATTCGGATTATGTTTTTTCATGTTTTGATATGATAGAATTTTCTAAAATTATCCTAATCATGACGTTGATTGAAATGGGCGGCGTACCAGATTTCCCACAAAAAAATGCGTTTTGGCAAAACATGGTCACTGATGTTGACCTCCAGCCCCGTCGGGCAGGCCCCTGCAAGCCATCGAGTGTTGCGAGCATTGGTCCAGACGGTTTGCGAATGGGTTTTGGATTTTGTGGATGGGTACGACAAAAAATGGGGGAGTTCACCATCAAACATACAGTGGATTGGATGGTTGAAACCCTCTAAATAATGGGCTAAAGCCTCAATTTGTGCAGGATTTCTTCTAGCCACCGTAAGAATATGAAAACCCAACAAGTGAAGAACTCCTTGCGCATCCGCGCATGGATTTTCCTGAGTTCTTGCTGGTACCAGGGCGGTGCTATGAACGATGTGTTCCGCGGAAGCGAACTTTATGCGCAAAGGCAGCAATGGTTCCAGGACCCAGCTGAAAGTGCCATGGAACATTGTGGAACCATAGAAATATGGAACTCTGCCATGAGTCCTTCCATGTTTTCCGGTTTCCAACTGATCCTTTCTAAATGTTCATTCCGGTAGAAATCAATTTTGAAATCCGGTCCTGCGTTGACACCGCTTGATGATCCTTGATGCAAATCTGCCGTTGCCGTTGGAAACTCAACAGGTTCATCATCGGCCCGGCTCCTTTTTTTTGCCACGGGCCATGGCGGAGAAAGGTTTCCGCTGGCTGTTTCTCCACCCAGGACATATACCGCCGGACAGCGATGCAAGGGCAGCCCCAGTGCCGTGGAGAGAGTACACCCCCAGCGAAAGTTCCGGGGTGGGCAGATATAAGTTGCTGTTGAACCTGCTGCAGAGGGCAGTTGCAGATCAGGAACTCTCAACTCTGCCTCTAGAAGCTGGAACTGGAACAAGTGCAACAGCGGCAACGCTGCCCAGATTTGTGACGGAAACAGCAGCTGCAGCTCCAATGCCCATCTTGAATTTTGCGGGTGGTGAAATGCAAGGCCTCGATGAAGCAGGATATGTGATTTTCTCGGTTACTTGGGGATTTGCTGAGCAATTTCTTTCATGTATTTTCTATGGAAGGATTAGAAAGATTATTCAAGTAGTTCATGAGAAGTGTTTACTCATCCCTCAAGTGCAGTGACGGGGAATTTGATGGGAATATGAAATATGCGCCTTTTTCTGGGTACCGCGACGCCAAGGTTCCCTTACTGATGGCAGACCTTGTTTACCTCTCGGCCAGTAGCCGTTCAGAGGCTGTTCAGAAGGGTGAGGTCGTTGAATATTTCTTAGCTTTGGCACCACGGCCCCAGCTCTCTGAAACCCACAAGTTAGAAGATGTTTGGCTAATGTATACAGCAGCAGCTGATTCCAGTGACTTCCTTCGCTTGCTCTTTCAATTCGGAAGTCGTGGGGCCCTCCGATGGGATCTGGAGAACTGCTACGGTTTGACCGAAAGAGCTCTAGGCTCGGGTGGCTGTGGCACGGTGTATCTGGGACAATCCAAGATGCAGCTGCCTCCACAAAAGGAGTCCAGTCGACCATTAGATATGCCGGCAGTCCCTCAAGTGGCCATCAAAAAGCTCAACAAGAGTGGTGGTTTGGCAGAGGAAACCTCCATTCGCAGTGAGATTGAGTTTCTAGCTGTTGCCAAAGGTCATCCCAACATCACGGCGCTCTTCGGAGTCTTTTGTCATGAAGAACAAGACGATCCCGCGGAGCTTCCACGGGCGCGCTGGTGCATCGTGATGTCGCTGTACTCTGCTGGAGATCTCTTTGATTACCTCGCGGCCAATGGCGCCATGCCGGAACCCGCAGCTGTGACGCTGATGTTGTGCCTGCTGAGTGCCCTAACTCATCTGCACAGATTAGGGGTTGTACATCGAGACGTAAAAGCCGAGAACATCTTGTGCCTGGGAGATGATGGCCACAGTTTGTGGCCACCGTTGTGTATTTTTCTTGATTTTAGATCCAAGACAATTGAGGATGACATCTTCCAACTCAGTGCACTTTTGGGAACTGAGTGGCTTGAATATCTTGAATCCGAGTATTTGCTCACATCGATGTGACTGTTTCAGGTTAAGAACATTGCCCAGTGCATTCTTCAGGTTACAGAGGCCACAGGTTACCCAGGTTCTACGGGCCTTGCGTTGCTTCAATTTACTTATACGGGGATGGGTCAAAACCTATTACTACCCTCTTTGGGGGAATAAGCATCCATTAACCAGCTAGTTTAGGGTACCATCCGGGTGCCAGGGCTTTGACCCATAACCATACCATACCATACCATACCGTTTTATAACCATCCCCATCACTTTTTTGAAGGCTTCAACCTCCGAGGTTAGCTTCCTCAAAGGCTGTCCTGTCTGACCTGGGAATTGCCGCGTTCGTCAAAGACGACGTGGCCATGCAAAAACGTGCCTGGGACCAGGATTTACCTATATTATATCAAACTGCAAGTGGGAATTGATACATCAAAATAATTCAAAATAGGGATTTTAACCATCCCAAAATGATTCTTCAAACAGGAAAAAAATGTGTTTTACATATTGTTTTACCAAGCAGCATCGGGCAAATTATAGCCGTGTCACTGGCTGACCGATGTTCTATACATCATTATACATCCAGAATCATCCTAAACATATTTCAGGTTGGAGAAAGTATACTCTCCCCAGATGTGTCTTTTCTTTTGACATGTAATTGAAGACAGTGGCCAGCGACATCTGAGTGATTTGGTTTTCGTTCACCTCTATTATTTGCTACCCAATTTATTTCGATTGTTTCATATAATCTTTGAAGGTTTAGGATATATAGGATAATATATATATATATTCTGAAATCGTTTTTTCTGTCCCCCCAAAAACAATTGACCACCAAGCAGGCTTTGACTGGCTGATGGGGCCTGGCATCTTCAAATTGACAGCTAGTTGTTCTTTTTATTAGCAGCCAGTTGCCGCATGTTGCCACTTTGACTTACCCTCTGGTTATTTAACATAGCAATGGAAAATGGCCCATTTACAGGTATGATTTTCCCAGCTAGAAAGCTCCATTATTATTTCATGGATTGTCCAGTTCGCTATGTTAAATAACCTGATGGTATGGCCCATAGAAATAGATGGTTTACCTATTAAACATGGGTGGATGTTCTATTAAAAATAGATGGTAACTTGAAAATGTGCCATGGATCCCCAGGCTCCAACTGAGGTGTGGGATCTCCAGGCTATGCGCCACCCGAAGTCGTCACAGATCTTCCCTACGACGAGAAGGTCTGCGCTGGAGATACTAAGGGATGATGTTTCTTGGGTTCAACAGGACTTAGAACATGGTGTATCATGGTGTAAAAATTGTAAATAAGACCTTGGAAAAGTCAATGCTGAAGATTCCAGATGTCTTGATACGCCTTGAATCCGGGATTTTGTTCTGCCAATTTTGTTGCTATGGTATGACTCTATAGTTCTTGAGGTTTGATCAATTGTTAAGGGCATGTTTGAACTCAACATCCGGAGAGGTGGACGTATTTGGTGCGGGTGCCGTGCTCTATTTCGCCCTCAGCAACACCTTGCCCTTCCCCGGCAAGAGCTTGAAGAAGGTATTGGAGCTCACAGCCAAATGCAAAGTGAGGTATGATCCCACCTTGTTTGGAGAGTCTTGGGTGCATAATATGAATGTAAACCCCAAATTTTCTTGAAATTTCTCGGCTGTTTCACTGGAGATTACCAATTCAGTACCAGTTTATCATATGGAGGTGTGGCCTATAGGTCACCCTTGGATACGTACTTTCGTATTTCAATGGTATCTAAGATTACCCTTCGGTGTCATTAAACATGGTTTGCTGGAAAATCTACCATGTCACTTCATGTCACCATCTTTATTATTCATTTTACCCAGCTATAGAAGCCTCCCATTTCCTTCAGGGACTTCCCATCCCAGCATTGCTACAGCTCCAAGGAGTATGGTGGTAGCATCATGCAGCTCTTAAAAGCCTTGCTGCAAAAGGATCCCAACAAACGACCCAGCTCCACGACTTGGAAGTCCAGTGGGAACGGTTGCAGGATGTTGGATATATGGTTGGTGGTGCACTGGATTTTGAAACCGCAATTGTTCGGAACCTCTCCATGTTCTTCATAAACTTGTCTCTTCCATCTTGGGGGGAATCATTAATCATTCACGTGTAATATCTACTTTCAAATACCTGGTGCCCCTCACAGACGATCATCCTCTCATCAACGGTCCATCTCCCAGTTTCCGACATTTCCCAAGAATTCTCCCCATGGTCCGACCTTTGTCACCTTTCCCAGGTTCCAAGAAGAGTTTCATCTCCCTCTGGACCTTGGCGAAGCCGGACGTGCGGAACAGCTCCGCCGCCAAGGCGGCGTACCAAGCCATGGAGGACGGCGCCGAGCGTGCGGCGTCACGGCCCGCGCCGGTCGCCCCGCCCAGCCCGACCGCGGTGCCGAAGGTGGTGCGGACCTCCTCCCGGAATGATGTTAGAGAACAGAAGGCACCACTTCGGCTGTTTTCTTTGTTTTTTTTACGTCAACAGCTGTCAATCTGTTGAAGTTCTTGGGTATTCCTCCCAAAACATGGGAAATCCAATGGTTGATTATGGTTGATCATCGTTTTTCCGCCTGAAGCAAATGGGAAGAGGGTCATTTATTATATATATATATACATATAAAATCATATAAAATTAATATGCATCTATATATATCATTTTATTTTATATGTGTTTATATATTATTATATATGCTTTATTATATTTATATATATATTATATTATATTATATTATATCATATTAGATTATGTTATATTACAATATATTGTGTTGTATTGTATTATATTATATTATATCATATTTTATTATAGTTTATTTTATTTTGTTTATATGTTATTATGTATATACATATTATTTATATATAGTTTATATAATATATATTCTACATTCTAGATTATATATATATTCTATATTATATTTGTATTATCTTATATATGTCTATTATACATAGATTATGTTATATATTTTTGTTATATATATTTTATTGATCGATTAACTACTGGAATAGAATCCTTCAACATTTTGGATATTTGTTGGATTCGTGGATATTCTTGGAAGACAGATGGATATGATGTAAAAAATATAGTAATAACTACATTTAGGAAGAGGGTCGCATAGAGCGGCGTATATCTCACGATTCAAGTACATGGATATTTTGACATGTTTGATGCACTTGCCTGAAATCTAAAAGGCATGTAATTCATGTCTAGTTACTTCAATTTACGATGAAATTCCGATATTTGGACTGCGCAAATAACATCCAGTTGTCGGTGGTGAAGATGATACGCCCAAACAAGAAGGACAAGAGGTTCAAGATGGTCAGGATTGAACATATTCTACACATGTTTCAGTTTTCTTAAGATAGGAACTGATAGATTGCAAGTATGGGGTATTGCTCATTTGAGTTCGTTCTATGGTAACTATGAATAGTACCAATTGGAATTCGCAAGAATCATGTCCCAGAAAATTTTATCTATATTCCAGGTGGTCATTTATGTTTGCTCTATATGTTATAGTGGATGCGGCCGTGATATACCTGGATAGTTTCGAACCAAACGATTGATATGGATCATCAACCGGTCAGATATTTGTTGATGGAAGGCAGAGCAAAAGGGTGACATTCACTGAGGTCAATAAAATTATACATGACATTCTGGATTTTTGCTGGGTGATTGTGGATGTTCAATATGACAGACTCACCACAAAGTTTGTTACGGAGCTAGTGACTTTGTTCAGGGTGTGGCCTAGCAAACGCCATGTATGGATGATAATTGGAATTTGGGTCATCAAGGCCACATCTATTTGGCTGTAAGTTGACATATGATTTGGATGTCCGGCTTATATCCGGATCTACTTTCGTAATCAAAACTTCAGACGCAGCAAGCTCCAAGATGGACAAAGTCAAGTTGTGATTTTAGTCTAAGAAATATGCAGGTACCTGGCAGAAGCATGGATCTCTCCCAGAAAGTGTTTGGATCATTTTTTGGAGCGAAATTTCGGTTCCAGGCGGAAGCTGCTGCCACCGCCCCTGCAGCTGTTGGGAAGTCCGAGGCAGCGGCTCCTGCTGAAGCGACGTCCGGTCCTGAAGCGTCCACGGAACTGCAACCCAAACCTCCCAGTGCCCCGAAACCTTCGGGGAGTTTCTCTTGGATGAGAAGTTTCGGTTGGGGCAAAAGCAGCAGTGGAAAGGAGGTAAAAGATGGTGAGAGCTGAGATGACTGTCACCAAAAATCATGTAAGAATTTCCCAGGGTGAAGTGGAAATCCATGGATTCCAGCATTTTGCAGTGCGGGCTGCTTGTCAAACCTGCTAGGGTCTGGCCAGTCTCTCACGCGAATTCGATGTCTGTCCGCGGATACGCGCCGAATGGCAGCAGATGCGGTTGACGTTCTGTGCAAAAAGTCCGTGAGTTGAGCAGCTGCCCAGGTCTTTGCTGTGAGATCGACTCGGATGGTTGCCATGCGAGAAAGTTTCCAATTTTTCCAGAAAGACAACGAAGGATTGTGATAGATGATGAAACATGACAAAAGAATGATGAACGATGCAACTTCGAATGTCAAGGTGAATAAGATGCAACTCGGACTCGGAAACAGACTTTCCCGATGCATTTCACTCAACTGCAGGACCATTTGCGTCCCCTTTTGACGGAGATCAACTCCACCTTCGCCGCTCTTGCCAAGCGATTTGAAGATTTCCACTCTCTTGGCCCACAGGTGGGGCGCAAGTTTCAGTTTACGGAAGGCGTGGCAATGGCCTAAATGGCATACTTGTGACCGCAGTTGAATACATATTGAATATTTTCATGGTATGAGAATCGCCAACTTCGCATTTCCGGCATGAATTTATAGATTTATGTTTTTTAGATATGATATGATCACATATTTTCCACCGGAGACCAGCTTCACAGGCACATTTTTCAATCTGTTTTCCATGTTGTCCAGCATTTTTTCAACGCAGGTGGAAGACTTAGTGGTGTCCGCAGAAATGCTAAGTCTACGGGCCTCTCATGTGCTGGCACTTTATGAATATGCAGCAGCTCGGGATGTCGTGGGTATTGATGGTTTGGTGCTGATAGCTTAGGAAGTCATCAGACCATCATTAATGGTGGTTCTGCAAGCCAGACAGCGGGCAGTTTGGAACTGGATTAAATCAGAGGATGGTATTGAAAAAGAATGCGGACATTTGTTCTTGGGTAGCTGAATCTGATAATTCTAATGCCACCATTTGTGGGGTCACAGCTAGCTGTAGCTGTCCAGCCTTGACATAAAGCGGTGCTTATGACGTTTGAAAAGCTGAGACTTGAAGGTATTGACATGGGCAAACCTGCATGCATTATCCGGCGGGATCAACGTGTTTTACCACAAATTTCAGTGACAATGATCATCATCAACTGCCGCAAATGCCACATTTTTGGGGGTTGTAAATCCAAGGCTCCACCTTTACCACTGTGGTTTGTTTGAAAATGGTTTTCCTCACAATCCCGTGGTTTTCATTTTCCCTAATACCACTGAATACCACTGATCATTTTGCGAAAATCCTTCGACTCTTTTCACTCATACAAGGTGGTGCCCCATAGTTGGTTTATGAAAATTATAGCTGCTAAAGCCAGTGTTTAGTTCTTAGCATTGGGGTTTCCAAAGCAGCAAAAATACCTGGGGCAGCACCCTGTACCCAGACCTCACATCCATTCTGCTGGTCGTTTCACGGTTTGATCATCAGATGACCATCCCATTTTCGAGGGGACCCAAGGTGTTTCTCATTTGGCTGTGTCTTAGAATGGTGGATTGACCCCCAATTGGCCAGGAAAAAGTAGGGAGAATGATGATAGATTATAGGTTTACAATGGTTTACATAATATAGATTCGATAAACCGCCAGATTTGGGGCTGTCCTACTTCAGACTTTGGGGCATCACACTCACCAGCCCAGGCTATGTGTCGCATCCCGACTGACACCGCCTGTGCCAGTATGAATGTGGCCAAAGCCGCCCTCCGCACTGCTGAGGCATTGATCTGCCCAGCAGCATACCAAAGGCTATGCAAAACCCCATGGGTTGCACTAGGGATTTTTCATATCGATACATATACGTATAATCATATATATATAGATACACATACGTATACATAGATATGTTGCTGGATGGTACAAGGGCTATTTACAAAAAATCCATCTGAGCCATGTTGATGTGAATCCATCTGTAAAAATGGTGGTGCCCAAAAATGGGGTACATCCCCCAAAATGGCGATGTGAATAGAGAACATGATGATGAAGCATCAAATATGGGTTTTCATATGGTTTCATATATTTTATCTAAACGTTTCATCTATAGAAATGTTGATAAATCTTCCATGTATCATCATGTATCTAGTTAAGAACCTGGATTTCACCAAGTGACAAAATGGACTTCACCATTCCCGGACAAAATGGACTTCACCGGGAAAATCAGGACCCCACTCTTTATTCGCCAATTTGTTCAGTGTTGTTTTCCGGAAAGACACTTGTCGCCTTCATTACCCTTCCTGCATGTGAAAACATAACATAAACATAGATTACAGGACCCATCTTGCATGTGAAGAGGTCACTTGCATGGCATGACATGAATTCGATTACATGACACACCTCGCATGTGAAGATGATGGAAGATGTGCCTTGCATGGCCTGATGTGACATGGCTTACATGCCACACCTTGCATGTGAAGATGTGACTTGCATGGCATGATAGTTGACATGGATTACATGACGCACTGTGCATGTGAATATGTGACTTGCATGGCATGACATGACATCGATTACATGACATGACACACCTCACATGTACAGATGTGCCTTGCATGGCATGACGTGACATGGCTTACATCACACACCTTGGATGTGAAGATGCGACTTGCATGGCATGACGCGACATGGCTTACATCACACACCTCGGATGTGAAGATGCGACTTGCATGGCATGACGCGACATGGCTTACATCACACACCTTGGATGTGAAGATGCGACTTGCATGGCATGTCACGACATGGCTTACATCACACACCTTGGATGTGAAGATGCGACTTGCATGGCATGACGCGACATGGCTTACATCACACACCTTGGATGTGAAGATGCGACTTGCATGGCATGTCACGACATGGCTTACATCACACACCTTGGATGTGAAGATGCGACTTGCATGGCATGACGCGACATGGCTTACATCACACACCTTGGATGTGAAGATGCGACTTGCATGGCATGACGCGACATGGCTTACATCACACACCTTAGATGTGAAGATGCGACTTGCATGGCATGACGCGACATGGCTTACATCACACACCTTGGATGTGAAGATGCGACTTGCATGGCATGACGCGACATGGCTTACATCACACACCTTGGATGTGAAGATGCGACTTGCATGGCATGACGCGACATGGTTTACATCACACACCTTAGATGTGAAGATGCGACTTGCATGGCATGACGCGACATGGTTTACATCACACACCTTGGATGTGAAGATGCGACTTGCATGGCATGACGTGACATGGTTTACATCACACACCTGAAGATGCGACTTGCATGGCATGACGCGACATGGTTTACATCACACACCTTGGATGTGAAGATGCGACTTGCATGGCATGACGCGACATGGTTTACATCACACACCTTAGATGTGAAGATGCGACTTGCATGGCATGACGCGACATGGTTTACATCACACACCTTAGATGTGAAGATGCGACTTGCATGGCATGACGCGACATGGTTTACATCACACACCTTGGATGTGAAGATGCGACTTGCATGGCATGACGCGACATGGTTTACATCACACACCTTGGATGTGAAGATGCGACTTGCATGGCATGACGCGACATGGTTTACATCACACACCTTAGATGTGAAGATGCGACTTGCATGGCATGACGCGACATGGTTTACATCACACACCTTAGATGTGAAGATGCGACTTGCATGGCATGACGCGACATGGTTTACATCACACACCTTGGATGTGAAGATGCGACTTGCATGGCATGACGCGACATGGTTTACATCACACACCTTAGATGTGAAGATGCGACTTGCATGGCACGACGCGACATGGTTTACATCACACACCTTGGATGTGAAGATGCGACTTGCATGGCATGACGCGACATGGTTTACATCACACACCTTGAAGATGTGAAGATGCGACTTGCATGGCATGACGCGACATGGTTTACATCACACACCTTGGATGTGAAGATGCGACTTGCATGGCATGACGCGACATGGCTTACATCACACACCTTGGATGTGAAGATGCGACTTGCATGGCATGACGCGACATGGCTTACATCACACACCTTGGATGTGAAGATGCGACTTGCATGGCATGACGCGACATGGTTTAAGTTTACATCACACACCTTGGATGTGAAGATGCGACTTGCATGGCATGACGCGACATGGTTTACATCACACACCTTAGATGTGAAGATGCGACTTGCATGGCATGACGCGACATGGTTT